AATGGCGCCAAGCAATGGCTGATGAGTTGGTTGCGCTTCATAGGAATGGCACGTGGACACTTGTGCCCCCTGTTCCTAATGCTAATGTTGTTAATTGTAAATGGGTTTACCGGTTAAAAATTGATGAAAATGGAAAGATTACCAAGTACAAAGCCTGCCTTGTGGCCAAAGGTTTTCACCAACAGCATGGCGTGGATTATCATGAGACTTTCAGCCCCGTTATCAAGCCTGTCACTATTCGCACTGTCCTGTCTCTTGTTGTCACCAACAAATGGCCTCTCAGACAGTTGGACATTCAGACCGCATTTCTGCATGGTGATCTCAAGGAAACTGTTTACATGCGTCAACCTCCTGGCTTCATTGATCAAACCAAACTTGATCATATATGCTTGTTACACAAGTCGTTGTATGGGCTCAAACAAGCCCCTCGTGCCTGGTTCATAAAACTGTCTACTGCTTTTCAACAGTTGGGTTTTTATGGGTCCAAAACCGACTCCTCACTTTTTATTCTCAAATCTCCGGGATCTCTTATCTACCTTCTGGTATATGTTGATGACATCATCATCACCGGTAACAACTCCACTGCTATCGCCACCGTCGTTGACCAGCTCCATACTCTCTTTGCTCTTAAAGATATGGGGCAGCTACATTATTTTTTGGGGGTCGAAGTTGTTCACAAGGGGGCAGACTTAGTTCTCTCACAACGGAAATATGTTTGTGAGATCTACCACCGTGCTGGCCTTGCAGACTGCAAACCGATTGCTACTCCAATGAGCACCTCTCAAGTGTTGTTACCGGATGATAGCCCATTACTCGATGATCCCTCTCGCTATAGGCAGACCGTCGGGGCTCTTCAGTATGCTACCCTTTCTCGTCCTGATATYGCCTTTGCAGTCAATAAAGTTTGCCAGTTCATGCATGCTCCGACTGAAAATCATTGGGCCGGAGTAAAACGAATCTTACGTTACCTCAAGGGCACCATCAATTTGGGTTTGTGGATTCGTCACAAYACGGGCTATCAGCTTCAAGCCTTTTCTGATTCTCATTGGAACCAAAATCTTCAAGCTTACTCAGACTCTGAMTGGGCTGGTTGCCCAATCGATCGTCGATCCACGAGGGGATATGCTATCTACTTAGGCTCGAATCTTATTTCTTGGTCTGCTCGCAAGCAGAAAACTGTCTCTCGATCTTCAACARARTCCGAGTATAAGGCCATTGCAGATACTGTTGCTGAGTTGATTTGGCTGAAGTCTCTTCTTCAGGAACTTGGATTAAATAGCAAGGCCCCTACACTTTGGTGTGATAATCTTGGCGCRACATATCTCACAGCTAATCCTGTCTTTCATGCCCGTACCAAGCATGTTGAAGTAGACTATAACTTTGTTCGTGAACAAGTTACTCAAGGGAAACTAATTGTCAAGTTCATCTCTACAGACGACCAAATTGCTGATATTTTTACAAAGCCCTTGTCTTCTCAGAAGTTTGAGTTTCTACGGTCCAAGTTGCAGATTGCTAACCGCGCTGAACTTGCGGGGGAATGTTAGACTAAGTCAACTAGTCTAGTTTATATTATTAATATTGTCTAGGGTCCAAAGTGTAATTAGTTTTACCTATATATCTACATCTCTAAAGTGTATCTGATAATTATTATTTTCCAATCAATACAATCGATATCAAGTTTTATAATCACAATACACTTTTATAAGCTGAATTATGGGAATCTTCAAGTCTTCAAATAATCTTTTCAACAAGATTGCCTCACAAAGTCCATGAGCTAGAGACTTGATTTCTACTTCTGCACTACCTCGTGTCACAACATTTTGTTTTTTACTTCTCCACGTAACAAGATTTCCTCCAACGATTGTACAGTAGCCAGAGGTAAATCGTCCATCAGTAGTACTATCACCCCAGCCTGAATCAGTAAATACCTTTATCTGAAAGTTGTCACTTTTTTTTAACATTAGACCTTTTCCAGGGCTTCCTTTTAGATATTTCAAAATCCAAAAGGCTGCCGCAAAGTGTTCTCGTCCAGGTGAGTGCATATATTGGCTAATCAGGCTTACTTATCTAGTCGTGTATGTGACAAAAAGATCAGCTTTTCCACAAGCCTTTGGAATTTCTCCTTATCAGTCACTTCTTCAGCTTTAGCAGGATAAAGTTTAAGATTAGGATCTATGGGCTTATCGACAGGTTTACAACCTAAGAGACGAGTCCTACTGAGAAAATCAAGGATATACTTCCGTTGGTTAACAAAGATGCCCTTCTTGGATCTGGCTAACTCCATTTCCATGAAGTATTTTAGTGGTCCTAGATCTTTTACCTTAAAATCTTGGGATAACCCCTTTTTCAAATTGGTTAGCCCTTCGTAGTCATCACTAGTCAAGATTGTGTCATCCACATAGACAAGTAAGATAGGGATTTTACCTTTTTCTGATCGACTTTAAAACGTTGTGTGATCAGCTTGGCTTCGATGATAGCCATGAACATTCACTGCCTTGTCAAATCTTTCAAACCATGCCCTTGGAGACTGTTTAAGGCCATACAGAGAGTTCTTTAGACTGCATATTTTGCCTTGTCCTAACAGTTTTTCGAACCATGGAGGTAGGCTCATAAGCACTTCTTCTTGCAGATCACCATTCAAGAATGCATTCTTGATATCTAACTGGTGTAGTGGCCAATCACAATTTGCCACTAGAGATATCAACATCCACATGGTACTGAGTTTTGCAACTGATGTGAAAGTTTCTTGATAGTCGATACCGTATGTTTGGGTGAAACCTTTAGCGACTAATCTTGCCTTGTATCCTTCAGTACTCCCATCTGCCCTGCATTTCACACTAAAAACCCATTTGCACCCAACTGTTTTCTGATTTTTGGGTAGATTGGTAACTTCCCACGTGCCATTTTTCTTTAGAGCATTCATCTCTTCCATCGGTGCTGATTTTCAATTAGGGTCATCCAGTGCCTCTTGTATATTTCTTGGAACATTTTAAAAGAGGTCTTCAACCTCAGATTTTTCAAACATCAGATATACCCAAAAACGACGAGTGTGGTCGTCAATAAATGTTACAAACCACCTCTTGCCTGATGGTGTATTAATCCTCGAAGGTCTCCAAATATCACTGTGGATTCTATAAAAAAGGTTTTGAAGGTTGATAACCTTTAGGGCGATAAATAGTTCTTTGACTTTTTGACAAAATGCAGTTTTCACAAACTAGTTGTGAATTATCCAAATCTTTAAACAAACTAGGAAATAACTTACTAAGATACGAAAAACTAGGGTGTCCTAGCCTATAATGCCAAAGCATAATTTGATCCTTGGTAGGAATAGAATGAACATTGTTGAAAACTTTAGCTACTTTATTCTTAGAATCTTGATCATCAAAAAATTAGAGTGTGTCGGTTTGTTTAGCACTGCCAGTTGTCTTCCGCAAGTTCATATCTTGAAAGGTACAATGAGAGTCAAAGAAGGTAATTTTTGCAATTAGAATCTTTGGATAGTTTGTTAACCTGTAGAAGATTGCAAGTTAGTTTAGAAACGTGTAAGACGTCCTTAAGAGAATATTATTGCGACAGATTTATCAGGCCTTTTCAGGCAATAGGAGAATAAGATCCGTCTGCTATATGGATTTCTTCATTACCAGAACAAGGAGAATACGAATTACATAGGTTAGACATGCTGGTCATATGGTCGGAAGCTCTTGAATCGATGATCCAAGGAGTGGAGTGAGTAGAAGGGTGACAAGAGAAGGCTTTACAGTTACTTGTTTGTGCGACAGAAGCATTAGGAGCACTAGATGAACCTGAGTTGGTCTTCTGCAGTTTTAGGAGTTGATCAATTTGCTCTTTGTTGAGGAATGCCGAATCTGCACGTGTGTGTAGTTGTCTTATGAAACCGTCCTTCATGCAATCCCTTCCAATTTTCTGGTTTTCCATTGAGTTTCTAACATGTCTCTCGTGTATCATGTGGATTGTTACAATGGTCACACCACACACGAGTTCTCTCACCAGAAAAAGAGATTTGTTTGTTAGTATCCCGCCGATTTTTGACTCCGGCAAGAAAGGCAGAATTTTCAACATTGTTACTCGATGGTTTCTTATTAAGCATCACAAGGCGGCGGCTTTCCTCATGTCGCACTTCAGAAAATACTTCTCCCATTGATGGAAGAGGCTATCTGCCAATAATCCTGCCTATAACTTCATCAAACTCCATATTAAGACCAATAAGAAACTTATAAATGTGATTACCCTCCATCTTTTTTTTTTATAATAATTGCAATCATCAGCACAGTTTCATTCATAATCAATGAAAAAATCTAAATCTTGCCAAAATCTTTTCAAGAAATTAAAATACTTGGTGACATAGTCCTCACCTTGGTAAATTCTTTCTAATTTTAAGGTGAGTTCATATACCTGAGATTGATTTTCCTGATTGACGTTTTCCCAAAGCTCTTTGGCTGTATGGTAGCACATATAGTTAGAGCTATGTCCTCTTCCATGGAATTTACTTACCATGTCATCACCATAGAGTTTTCAGCATCCCACAAAACATGGCTGGAATTGTCCAGAGCAGGCTCCTTTTCTCTACTCAGGTAAGCCATCTTTGCCCTACCACGAATACACATGCGCACAGATTGGGACCAGCGAAAGAAGTTCTCTCCATTCAACTTAATGGTAATGATTTGAATGAAGTGGAATTCCGAGGTAGGGTTGTGTATGGCAGCGGAAGATACATTCTTTTCGGCTGCATAAGTTGTTATAGTTGTCGAGCTTAAATTGTTCTCAATTGGTTGCATAAGTTGTTATAGTGACCATTAAAAGAATGCTAGATGTAGTGGCTGAAAATCTGTGGAGAAATGAAGTGAAAAACAACACTATAAGAGCGATTTTTATTTTAACTGATGTTTTTCTACTGTCATTTGCAATTGAATCTTTAGTTAGTGCTATGAGGAAATAATTCAAAATATGTTCTTATCTTAGATTGTGATTTTCTGTTCTAGGAATGTAATGTAGAAGAACTTGAAGAAGAACCCCCACTTAACAGTTCTAAGAAGCCAAAGGCTGAAGAAAGAGCACCCAGCCTAGTGTTCAAGATAACAAGCAAGGTTGCATATAAGACGGTGTTAAAAGGTGATGATGCTATGCAATTCTATTCATTTATGTTTGTTGTATAACAATTCCTCTAAGATGCATGTCAATGCTGAGTTAAAGTTTAAGTGCTTCTACAGCTCATAGCGCTGTTGTGTTGAAGGCTGAGACTGCTGCCGATAAAGCTGAGTGGTTAAACAAATTGAAAGTTATAATCCGTGCCAAAGGGGGTCAAGTTATTATGAAAGCAGATGGTCCTCCCATTCGGCAAAGTCTATCCGATGGTTCGCTTGTGAGTCACTCAGTATTTCCGTTATAAATAGTTTCACATAAGCTCAAGTATATGCTGCATCATAAAAGGTGCTTAGTAGTGTGATTGGATTTCAATACTTTCTAATTTAATTTTTTTTAACCCCCCATAGCCCAAAGCAGCAGGCTAACCAAATAACTTCCAATCCAACTTAAAACCATGGTGGTAGCCCACGACCTTAAGCTTATAAGGAGTTCACAAATCTGATTTTCTATCCATGTGGACGGGTTGTTACACCCTTCACTCTTTCCATGCTATTTGTTCCAAACAATATATACATGTTGTCTTTTTGGTTTTAAATATTACCCTCTATCTCACACGGGTCATGGTCTCATTGATATTGTTCCAGCTGGGTTATATACTGGTTAATCCCTTGGGTTACTTGCAAAATTTAGGACACAATGACTAGAAAGCCTGCAGATCCAGAGGAAGAACTTCGTTGGATGGCTCAGGAAGTACGTGGTTATTGTGAAGCTGTTCTGAACAGCCTTGCAGCAAATGTTCCAAAGGTATCTATCCTTTCAAACACATGCCCATAGTCTGATCAGCTCATTTTATTTTCATTTTTTGAGTCTTCATTTGGTTGTTCAGGCAATTGTTCTTTGCCAAGTAGAAAAAGCTAAAGAAGACATGCTGAATAAGCTGTACATTTCTGTAAGGTTAGCAGCTGTATTTTACTCACTGTGGCCTATGGAAAAAGATCGATTGGGTCCATTGAAATGAAATATGTTTTTGCTTTTAGTTTGATATTATACTTTAAACGATCCCCATGAATGGGCTTATAGGAATCATTGTCGTTTGATGAAGCAATCAGTCAGTTAAAACAATAACGAGGAAATTCAAATGAAAAATGATACAATTTTTTGTATTTGAATATTTATTTAAAAAATTTTATCGACCTCACCAAACAAAACAAACCCAATAGAACTCAAGAGGTAAGGTCTGGTGATAGGATGTACGCAAACCGTTCCCTTACCCAACCACCCTGTTTCATGAGACCCATGAAACAACCTTGTAACTGTTGGATCACTTTATCTCGCCAAACCTTTTACAACAAAACACCGGACCTTCACAGCAGAAAACCAATCCTTCACAAAAGAACGCTGAACCTTCGCATGAAAAACACAATGAACATTCATAGGGAAAGCACACATGAATCCTTCACAACGGTCTCACAAAATCAATGGAGACAAGCCTCAAATTTATTATATGTGCCATATATTGTCAATTCACTCGGTCTCTGATCACTACCTGCCTAATATATCAAGCAAAACACTTATCATTATTTACATCTCTTTCAATGTTTCAAAGTTCGCAGAGTACGTTGAGGATTGAAGAGCTGCTTCAAGAGGATGGTAATGTCAAGCGTAAAAGAGACAAAGTTCAGAGGCAATCCTCTCTGTTATCCAAACTCACCAAGCAGCTCAGCGTTCATGATAACGGAGCAGCTGCAGCTTTAAGCATGTCAAATGGTAACCCTGCAGGTATCCATTCTGCAATTTGCTTCCTTTCTCTTAAATACTTTATTTGCCATTTTCCAATTAAGAACCTCAACTTAGCGTTGGTGGATTCAAGAATGCCTTAATTATGCCCCTAATTATTCCCAATCTAACATAAAACCAAAAATCAAATCAAACCATCATAATCTATCTCCCTCGAAAGTAGGTTCTGGGGTGGGATATGCACAGACATGACGTCTAGCCTGTTGGGTAGAGCGACTGTTTCTGTGAAGAACCCTGGTTTATGCAGATATATGAGAAAAAAGGAAATTAGAACTAAGACCAGTAAAAGTTTGCAACAGAAAAAAAATGAAAATAAACCTATCCAAATCTAACATCTCATCGTATAATTCAACATTAACAGAAAGTCCAAGAAGTAATGGATCCTCATCCGGTGATGACTGGAGATCTGCATTCGATTCTGCTGCCAACGGCAGCTCAGGGCTTGACTCCAGGTATGGGTTCAGTGGCCATAATCGCAGGTATAGCGACCCTTCCCAAAACGGTGATGCTGGCTCAGGTTCAGGATCAAACTCCAGCAGCCGCCACACACCTAACAGAATGCCACCTGCACCACCTGGTTCCGGATATAGATTTTAGATTATTATTTAGAAAGCTTCTACCCATTGATGAATATATTCTGTCTTGATCCCACGCTTGTGGGCACGAGTTCAAGTATGTAGATTTGCTTATATACATATACACATCTCCTTTGTAGATAAATATTCATTTGGCAGGACGTCGTCTGTTTTAGTCACAATTTTGTTTTGGTTTTTCCATTATTCCAAGGTTGGCATAATAAGTATATTCCGCTTAAATGTGTCGATTCATTTTGTAGCATGGGCGATCCTTTTTCTTGTTGCTCTCTCGAATATACCTTGTTATGTTATGTATGTTGCGCTGTGGTCTAGCCGAGTTTACGTGCACATACAGAACATAATACAGATGAATAGTGCTTATGGATACAAACATTTTGAGCCTTACATGATAGTAATTGACCCAGAGTCCTATCTCACACGAACGAGATTATTTATCGTATATAAATATTATATATTTAAAAAGAGTTGATAGTAATGTTGGTGAAAGTATTAAAAAACAAAATGAGGATTAAATTCCAAGGATAATGAGGGGTTGTTTATCAAACACTTACCCGATAAATGCTTACTGGTCAAATTTAACACTATTAATTACTTATCGGGTAATATTTTAGTCCACCAAAACGACATCGTATGCAACAATTTACCCAGTAAGCGCTTACCGTGGTAAGAGTTGTCGCCCTCACTTACCGAGTAAGACTTTTGGTCCTTGTGTCGTTCTTACCGGGTAAAATTCTTGCTCCTTACCATATTCATCCGGTGAGGTAACGTGATTTGGTAAGCACTTACCCGATAAGCGTTTGGTAAACGGCCCCTAAGATTTGAAGTTTTAAACTCAAACTTCTCGTGTTATTATAAAAAAAAAGTTTCTATCTTTTCTCCGCCTAATCCCATGGGAACTAAGAAGACATCCAAGAAAATCTCAATGGCCTTTGAGGGACTCGAACGACCTATGGAGAGCAGTTTTCAAAAACTTAAGTTTTATTGTCAGTTGAATTAACCCCTCAAGGTTAATGTTATGTTAACTTTAATACTGGAGGGGTGGTTTGGAAAAATGTGCATTGTATAATGTATAGTGTATGAACCAATAGATATTCATCATATTAATCTAAACATTAGCATAGGAATATGATCTACTTAGATTTGAAAAAACCTTATTTGGTTGTAGCATTAATGCATAATGATGCAACATTTTTGCTATTGAATGCATTTTGGGATAATTTGCATACACATGTTCTTTTTGTTGGGTTACGGGATCTCAAGCATAGTGGAAAATAAAACTGTAACCCTTTAAGGACCCATACGAACTGGAATAAATCGGGTGTTTCGAAATTATACCTCACAGTTAGAGAGATCATTGAATCTAAGCAACAAACAAGACTTGATGCCTCCACGGTATCCATGCGAACAATCTGAATCTTTTGTCTTCTCATGATACTAGTCACGATTTCAAAACTTAGAACAAAAAGGGAGCTTATGTTGCAGGTAATTTTAGAAAAAAAATTGCAAGAGCAAGAATTGCATAAAATGTCATACATTTTGTAGTTACGAGAGGCATGGCCTAAAAGTACTACCATCCCTACACCTTACTTGAATGTAAGACTTTCCAAACAACATCCCTCTCCTTTTAAGATCATCTTTTGCCAACCTACATCAACATAAAATAATATTTGATTTTTATTTAATCAGATTAAATCAATACAAATCAGATATAATGATTAAATATTTTAATTATTGAAACTTTTTATTCAGATATGTTCAAAGCGTGTAACCCTATGGGTTCTAGATATGATGGTAATAAATACAAATCTCGTGTTTATATTTATAAACGATGAGCAGTATCTAGCAATACACCATCGTCACCCAAATAACGAGAATCCGTGATACAACAAATTATCGGTTTGTAGTCAATTTTAATTTAAGCATTTAATTTTTTTGTTCTTGATGTCCATATTGAACACGAGACATTGAATGTGTCATTCTCGTTGAGTCCAATCTCTAGTTTCTTAATTCCCTTATATATTGATAAAAAACAGATCATGATATCTCATATCAATTATCTGAGTATGCATGTATTTCCTTAGTATATATTTATCAAGGGGCCTAGAGACATCATTTATGTCATAAGGGAGGGACAAATCCTATCTCGATACATCTTAGTTCTACAATGTGATATACAAAATACCCAACGATCATTCTGTCACCCAGATACATAATGATTAGAATAAATGTCAAAATACGTCACTCACACACAACAAACTACATGTTCTCAAGTCAAAAGATTACATGTACATTGACCACATGAGAAACGCTTATGACACTCACATGACGTCCAATGCAGTGTTCTCATAGCGAGTCACGTACGATACACAACTTCATCTTTACTCATATGCAGATTCAATATCTCTATATGAATCCCTACATATAATAGTTCTTATCATATTACTTCAACCTTAAACTCGAAATAATATTTAACTAGGGACATTTAGAATACATTAGTCTAAGATTATTTATTATAAATAATTAAAACACATGATATAATATAAACTAGAGTTGTTCATGGGCAGGACGACCCGTTAGGGCTTGGACTACTATTATCGAGAAAATAGGTGGGCCCGGGTTTGTTCGTTAAAATTAATTAGGGGTGTTCGCGGTCCGCTTTGGGCGATTTAACCCCTCAAACCACAAACCAAAACGTAATGGCGGTTTATAAAATTTTTAAACCGAGCGGTTTGACATCAAGTGTCCAGACCGGTCAAACCAGATCACGAAAATGTGGTATGGTCTGACCGATTTAGGCGGTTTGGGCCTTAATGGACTTTAAATATTAAACTTAAAAAACATATATAATTTAGAATTTTAGATTAAATATCCATGTTAACAAAACAAAATATCTAAACAAATAAATGTAATAATTAAGTAGCTCTTGAGTACAAAGTCGAAGCAATCCAAAGTACAAACAAATAAATATAAAATATATTAGAAAACAAACAAATTAACAAAGTTACAACTCTACTGTGAGTATTGAATAACAAAATTCACGACTTCACAACCTTCAATGGTTCAATTCTTGAGTCTTGAGTTCTTGACCAAACAAAATAGAAGTCAAATCTAAGTTGGTTGAATCACTTGATTGATGTCTTGATGATGTGCGCCGAAATCAAACCATGGATTAGAAAGATCAATAGATTGATGGAGTTTTTGAGGGATTTCAAAATTTGGAGACCGTCAATAACAAATGTCTCGATATGTTCAATGGTTTAATGATTTTAGTCGTCGATTTTGATTATGTTAGATGTTAGGTTTAGTGATATATTTGGGTCATAGCCAATAAGTTAAAAAAGTTTGGCTTGCTAATATTAAAATATATATATATATATATATATATATACTATCTTATAAAGCAAATTTAACAAAAGTCTTAAAAGTCTTAAAATACTAAATGACCAAAATACCCTTTATATACTTTTTCACTTTTTCACCCCCTCCTCTCCTCACATGCACTCACYCCCTCACATACACTCACCCTCTCACAACCGATTTTTTAAAATTATAATTTTAAATTTACATTTTATACTCCTATAATTAATTAATTTATTTATTTTACGTCATTTACTTTTAAATGTTTCATTTTAAACCTTTATCGAATTAATATACATAATCGTATATCAATTAAAACATGTTTAAAAAATACATTTTTATTTTAACAAGTTATACCATTATAATCGTCTCTTTAATACCTTCGAAATGAGTCCAATATTAAATAGTTTTTGACTTAATTATATTATTATATATTATATATACTGTGAAAAAATATTTTTAATATTTACGATTTATACTTTTATAGTTATATATATATATATATATATATACACTATATATTTTGGGGTTATGCTATCCAAATTGCACTATATAATATATTCTGAATTAATATGTTCTTAGGTTTTTTTGAAATATATATATATACATGTATTAATTCAACCTTAATCTGAGTTTCTGGACAAGAAATAGGGTAAATAGTTGAAATTTCATTCTAAAACTCATCTTTTTTGGTCTTTTCATGGCTTATGATCTGTTAGATTTGTAGTTTTCTTTATTGGTTTTGAGTGTTTATCTTAAAACTCAAGTTTCTTGGTTCTTTGCTCTTGGTGTAAATCGAACACATTTATGGAGTCGTTTAAATATATTGGATATTAAACTATCATACAATTTTTTTCATCGATAGTCTGTAATTGGAATCATAACTCTTATTTATTCAAATTGTATTAATATGTAATGACCAAGTGTAACATATATCATCGTTAAATCTTATCTTATAAAACCAGTGGAACTTCAAAATCGTTAAAATTCATGGCTCCCGCCGCATTACGCGAGTACACAACTAATATATATATATATATATATATATATATGTGTGTGTGTGTGTGTGTGTGTGTGTATTTGGCGGTCGGTTTGGTCCAAACCGCCCAAAAAAGGTTCCAAACCGCAGACCAGACCGGACCGCCCGGTTTTGCTATTTTCCAAACCAAACCGGACCGCCAGACCGTTCAGACCGCAAAAAACGGTCACGTTTGACTTGGTTCGGCCGGTTTGAGCGGTCCAACGATTTTTTTGAACACCCCTAAATTAAATTAATGGGCGAACATGGACAATGTAAAAATAAATATGGACAGACTCGTCCGACCCATTTATATTTTATAATTAATATTTTTTTACCATTAATTAAAATCATACTAGTATATTTTAAAATTAAGTTATTGAAGTTATAGGATGAGAGTTGAGACTTTTGGTTTTTCTTGAGAACCCAAAAGGCTCTACATTATCTTTGTTAGCATCCTTATATCAAAAGTCCTAATCGATCAACAATGGATAGAGTCCGTAGTTGTTTAAAGTTTTAATTTCAACGGTGTTTTTTCTTTACTTTTTGGTTCCACATTTGTTAATTAAGAGTTACACTTTTTAGACCCGTTAGCCCGTGGGCAAGCCCGACCCGTTTACAAGGCAGGTAATGGCAAGTTGTCAATCTCGAAAAAAAGAATTTGAGTTTACAATATTAGGTCCGTTGGATTAAAAAAAAGTTAGGCCCAGCCCATGTCCGATCCAAACCCGCAAATGATCACCTTTAATATAAACATAATAAAATGGACAATCTCTTTTATTTATTTATTAATTTCATGAAACAAAACTCAAAATTACAATCATCATATGATTGGTTTTGAGGACACTTTTCATTTATGAAATAGTCGTTAAAAATCAAAATCCCAAGTATTTTTTAAATTCTCTGTCTCAATCAATATTTTCTCTACTCTATATCATACACTTTAAAGTTCAATCCATGTGCGATATTTTATCTTACCAATTTATTATCTGTTAAAGGATATAATTTAGAACTTTGTGCACTTGTACATTTCAGTTGCGCATGTTTGTGTTAACAAAAGGTTTGAGTATAAACTTTACAACATCAATACAAACGATGATAAGTTGGAAGATGATGGCATACGAGTTGATATATTTCTAAAACATGGTCACAGGACAACTGAAAGTATATAAAATATGTTTTAGAAGAAAGATATGAAGCCCACAATAGCTAAAGAACTGAACGTATGTAAAACATCTCATCAAAAGAAAAACTTCCTCTGTGTCGAGGATTTTCCTAGTACCAACAGGCCACATAGAAGAATAAGAAAAGAAGTGAGAGGAAAAGCTTCTCAATCAAGACAGTGGGAGGTCAGTCACACTTGTCAGCACAACAAGACGACTATCCCCTGCACGCTGGCATATTCTTAGAGCGTTCTCACAGGTTGGTTAAGGTTTTCTAGCCCCGAAGGTCTGCAAACCAGAGTTATTGTGTCATATATAAAAAGATTTTATGTAGAACCTCAAATATCTTTTCTAAAATGATGTGTGTTTTCTATAAAATCTAAAAGTTAACCTGCTTTTCGATCTTAAAACTGATTATCGGATTATAATTAGAAGTTACTGATAGTGATCCAATTATTTAGAGTGGAACTCAACAAATAGAAACTTATTCTTATATACTTTTAAAAATAAAAAAATTTGGTCAACTAACCACAAGGGTGGTGTTTGATTGGTTTTGGCTCCAAAGGTCAAAAGTACCAGAAGGTCCCATGTTCAAATCCAAGTAGGAATAAAGATCCCCTTGTAATCACGGATGTTCAAATGTGGTGACTTCGGACTATTTGCAAAACAGGTGGTTAGGATTAGTCGGCTTATATAACGGGTTAGATAGGTTAATGGAAAAATAACTTTGGTCAACTCAAGCTTAGGGCAAATTGTCCATGATGCCCTTTGACCAACAAATGGGAGTCTAAATGTAAATTTTGTGAGAATTGAGGGTAGAAAATGAAAAATACAATAAGTTGAGTTGCTAAAAGCGGTCTTTACTTGATTGCTGTAAGAAGAGTCTCCTGAATGGCCGGTGCATCGTCGTCGTTGACGTCTCCGGTGACAGAGGAGGAGATAACACTGACTGTCAAATGGAGTGGCAAGGAATACACCGTCAGAGTATGCGGCGACGACTCCGTTGCTGAGCTAAAACGACGTATTTGTCAACTCACCAACGTACTCCCTAAACGCCAGAAACTTCTTTACCCTAAAATTGGATCCAAGCTCGCTGATGATTCTACTCTTTTGTCTACTCTACCGCTCAAATCTTCTCTCAAGATGACAATGATCGGGTAAACCTTTTACTGTCTTCTTCTTGTTATAATTTCAATCAATTTATTCAACAATAAATTAGTTGTTTTCTGCAGTTTCTGTATGCTGAAATCATGATTGACTAGATCTTCATTAGTTGCCTTCTAACTTTGTCCCTCTTTTGAAAGTAGGGGAACACTTTGAAATCTGTTATCAATCTTAGTACTTTCTATATGGAAAACCAACACCTTGGTACTTTCTGTACGGTTTAACAAAAAAAAGTATTTTACTTGTAATATTTCATATAAGTTTTATGTGGTTGGTATATCCCTTTCTTTGAGGAAAGGGCCTCTTTTCTTCAGAATGAAGCATATAATGCAGCAGACATTTGTATACCATTCGGATATCATGGTCAACTAATCACAATTGCATCAAACTCAACCCATTACTGAACATAACACCTTGTGCAATCAATCTATAGCTAAACCAATGTAGCATCAAACTCAACCCATGACTGAACATAATTACACTCTCCCCTCCAAAAAAGAAAATTAGTGGTAACTTTGATGGTAATGTTTGTGGTAGCTATAGATTTACTCTCCTTGATAAGATGTCACACTGTAATTGTGATGATATATGATCAGTCTCTTCAAGGCTACTGAAAACACGAGATTTTTTCAATATGGCTGTGATAGTAGTTTGAATAATGGCTCAATCGAACTGTTTATCATTGTTTTTGTCACCTTGGTTTCCTGACCACTCTGTGTTGGAGCATTCTTGATTACAAGCTGGAGGTTGGTCTGCAAGTGAGTCATAAGTAATAGTTTGTATCAAGTAGTGACCAGTGCATCATCATCTTGACTTGCTTGTATGAAAAATGTCCAACCAATTGACACACTATTAGCCTCTTATTTGAAATGCTGAATTTGTCAAACCTGAAGAACCCACTGGTTTTATGTGCTGTTATATAGATCAAAGTGGGAAAAACACAATCTTTGGAAAATGGAGAAAGAGGTGTTTTGGCTCCCTCACACAAGATCATGCATAACTAATTGTGAAGAAAGTGTCGTGCCTCCAGAGCCATCGAACAAACATTTACTGAACAATACTATCAGGAGATATAATAGAATTTGATTAGGGTAAAGGTCCAATTAGGCTGCATATTTTTTTGTCTGGGCCACAACTCATCTTGTGTACTATGCATATTCAGGGTGTTCCCTCAGTAATAAACACATGGACATACACCCTGAACATTTACTTGGCCTCTTAGTTAGGACTCTACTTAACCATGTGATAAATGCTTTCGCCATGGTACAATATGTAGTTGCTTGATTCTGTTAGATTCTATTTTACTGCCTCTAGAATCTAGATCTGCCTTTGGTAGCCTTTGGAGGCCTTTCCTGAGCTCTAAGTGAGGGTTGGTTTAGCTTGGTCGACTTTCGTGCCGTCATTGCACTCTTGATGTCTCGTTGAACCTTGAAGGCACCTTTTCAGCAATGTTGAATGCATGTTCTTGATTAGTTCTCCACCTTTAACTTTTCTATGTATGGAGTTACACTAGATATGATGTCATTCCATGAGATAAAGATTATAGCATATATGCTCGTCTCCATCATGGTATAACGGTGTTTTTATTTTTGCTTGCTTACTTGCCATATTCTTAAATCCAATGGACATTTTTTTTTAATTTTCTTGAGTGTTCAATGGTTATTTATTGCAGCTTCAAAACTATGGTTAGAGCTTTGCAATTTTCAGAAAGTTCATCTATCAAAATGTGTTTTACAATACTCAGGCATCACTCATTTTTTATGCAACATATCAAAAAGCTCACTGAATGTGTTGCAAATCCAAAAAGTCACTTGAACGTTCAGACTGTTCTGCAATTCTGTTGAACTCCTTATTTTCATCATCTCTTCACTTCCTTGTAGTTTTCTTCTAAGATGCTCTCATGGGTATGGCCATTCAGACGAACTGTTTCTGTTTTCATGGACATGGCGGGTTAGCCTGTATTGTCTAGTGTCTGGATAGTCTGTTTTTGTTGACATCTATGACGGCCACCAATTCTGTTGTGTCGGAGGGGAGAATAATTGAATAAAGTCATCAAACCTTATGTTTCCTCTTTCTTACCAACAACTTTGGATTTCAAGAATGCTTTCCGTAGTTACATTCTTGGGAGTATTAGGTGGAACTTTGTTCTCAATTTTTCTAAATAAGAAAAGGATATTCTTTAAAAGGAGAAGAGCTAAATAGGGGATATAGGAGCAGGAGCAGCCGGACATGAGGACAAATGGATAAGAGAAGCCATACAAATCCTTTTCTTTTTCGTGTAGTTATAATTTTCACTCCATTTATATTCAGTTTGCTTGGTTATTCTCTAATTGTAGTCTTTCTATGTGACCCATAGTTTTTTGGAGGAAAGCCTAGCTGGAGGAGCTACCTAGGGACCTACCCAAGGGAGTGACGTACTCTATTGTTTTGTCTTTAGGGTTGAGGACCCCCTCTGTGACAGGGGATTGTTGATCTGATGGGTGGACTCCCTTTTTTTATTGTGTGGTGTTAAGCATAAGTGTGAAGTTTACAGAATTAAGCAATATGATTGACAGAGATACTCTTGTTTGCTAGTTGGACCCATTCCTTTTATTTTGTTGCTTAATCAAAGTTAAACAATCTATTGTTTAGTGGTGATCATGGGTGGGTTGACCTGTTTCTTTCTTAGTTTATTCTAATCCTACTGTGATTGCTTTTCCTGCTTGTGATATTGGTTTGCTTTTGATTGGATTTGGTTTGTTTTTCTCATGTGTTGCTTTTTGATTGATGGAATATGCTTGGATGTTGGGTTTCTCTTTGTTGGTTGGAGCCCTATTGGATACTTTTTCTTCTAATTATTTATTTAATTCATGTGTTCATGATGCTCCAGTTTGTATGTCCGATTTGTTTTCTTAATTGTTGTCCATGCAAAGGGAGTTATTTGATTCACACTGTGTTCTAGGCGATTGAAATATCATAAGGCCATGAGGTTGTTTAAGTTTTGAAGATCTAAATTATGTTCTTGCTCATTTTATTTATGTTGTCTTTCTGTTTTCTTGAATATTATATATATATATATATATATATATATATATACTATATTATAAATCATTTGACAAAAACTCTTAAAAACCATTTTTTATGCATGAAGTACTGCTTATTGATGCATATTACTTAAAATTCAAAATCATAAGTTTTGTACGTAAGTACAACTTATTAAAGTTTCATTTTTGAATTTGTGTAACTAACTATAGATAATCATAATCAATAAAGGATAAACATCTCATTTTAAATATAAAAAATTTAAAATATAATTAGGATAATCATTGAATTCTAACAAAATACTTAATTATTATCTTTATAAAAAATTATATTATTAAACAAAAAAAATGAATTAAATAATCTACAAAAAAGTGAGAAATTTTAAATAGTTAGTTTAGTACTAATATCAATATTTTTTTTTTCAATTTTTTATATCTTCATATTTATATTTTATTCAAAAGTAAAAACATTATCGTTTTCTCAAAATCACATAAAACCGTATTATAACACCGATTGAGACAAAAAAGATAAAACAAAACGCTAAAATCAAGATGTATCTCGCTGCATTGTGCGAGTACCCTTCTAATATGTGTGTGTGTGTGTATATATATATATATATATATTCTCTAAGGTGATATCAACTCTCTATCGAGGATGTGTGGTATCACAGACATAGAATCAGGATAGGCCCATGGACCCATCTCTTGTACTCTAACATTCGGGAGTTCCTCTATAGAAATAGGCATTGAATTGACTCTTAACTTAAAGATGCAAACTGTACCCAAAAGTACCTAAAGGACGTAGTTCAGTCCTTTTTCGAGGCAGCAGTGCCTATCTTTAGCCGAACTAAAAACTATATACACACATACTCCACATGTATATGTACATCGTATATATCTCTACATACACTTGTATATATATATATATATATATGTATGTAAAAATGTATATACACACAGACATATATATATATAGGGGAGGGTTCATATGAGAACCGCAAATAGTTTGAGAACCAGGGAACTGTATTCATTGATAATATACACTATAAATTTCATCAAAATATGTATACTGTCGATGACTATATTTATCAATGAATATATTCACTTGTTTTTGTATTCTGTCAATAAGTATATTCAATAATGAATATACACTAAAAAGTTAGTTCTTGGTTCTCAAAATATTTTTGGTTCTCATTTGAACCGGACTCTCTCTCTCTCTCTCTCTCTCTCTCTATATATATATATATATATATATATATATACGTGTGTGTGTGTGTACATATATCATAGGTCAATACAAAACAGTAAAAAGATCATCTAGGGGGAATATTCTTCAGAGTTAGGGCTTAAGTGCGGAAAAAGGGAATGTAGTTTGTCAATTTTGTTAACATTCAACAATACGTTTTGGCAGGAAGGTGGTTAGTGAGCCTAAATAGCTTCGAAAAGCAGTTGTGACAACTGACAAGTGACAACTCATGGTGGAATTCATCTCTCAGTGCTTCTGTATACTCTGTTTTCATTTTTTTTTCAACTTGGTTCTTTACTTTTGGAAATTTGTCAGTAGGGAAGAGGATAAAGTTGGGGGGTAGCAGTAGTTTTTAAAATAATTTCCCAAATGTATAAAATGAGACCAAACGCCTATAGTTTTCCTCACCTAATTGTTCCAACCAGTGGTTAATTGTATTCTAAATTGATTTTGGTTCATGCATGCCTAACACCTCCTAATTATAGTAAGTGAATTCTTCTCATTAGCCTATATAGTCTGGATACTGTTTTCTTGGCCTCTCCCTGTAGTCCGTATACAGACTAGACACCACACAACCAAGCATATATTTATCACTTGCTTTGTCTTTCTACAGATGGAAAAGTGTTTTATGATAAGCATTTTAATATGCCACTGAAATCTGATCTTATCACTTGACTGAGGAATGTCTTAAATACTTTCTTGATGCAGTACTGTTGAAGATGATATAATCGTGGATCAAGTTGATGCTCCAGAGATTGTTGATGATTTTGAAATCGGGCAAGATGAAGTTGTAGACATTAAGGATAAGGAGGTCAACAAGCAGAAACTGAAGAGACGAGTTGAGCAATATAAGGCATGTCCTCTACTCTCTATAATTTCTTATAATGTGCTATCATTACCATGAGCATTATAAGTCATTTTTCATGTTCTATAACACTAATTGGGACGATGTGTCTTCATATATTTTTACATCATCATAATATATTGGACATTTTCATTTTGCCTATTCATCACTCTAGCATTAAGATGTATGCATTCCTAAAAATTTATAGCTTTGTTATGCATTCATCTTAATCCATGTATAATACTTTCTTATCAACTTTGGAGGTAATTATCGTATTTGTTATGCTCGTTAAGCTCTTACCAACTTGACTCATTGAGCCCTATCTGACTCAGTCCATGGCCAACTGTCCAATTTCTGAAAGAGTGTCAATGCTCACAAATCCAAACAAAATACTAAATCTGATAAAGTAACACGGTTAAAATATAGGATGTGATTTGAAAAGAATGGGACATTTATTTGTGCATGATATTTGATTGTGATATGTTATACGGATGCTTGATTATAGATTGAACTTCGAAATCCATGCCGAGAAGGGAAAAAGCTTCTTGTATTGGATATAGACTATACTCTCTTTGACCATCGTTCAACAGCAGAAAACCCGCTTGAACTCATGCGACCTTGTAAGAAGCTTGCACTTATTTCACTTGAAAAAATAAAATGATGATAAACAAGTGGCTGCTAACTTTTTGGCACATACAGATCTTCACGAGTTCTTGTCAGCTGTTTATGCAGAGTACGACATCATTATATGGTCTGCAACAAGGTTAGTCTTTAGTTTCCTTTTTTTCCTCTCATGGAGCTTCTATCTTTGTTGGCCTTGGTGAAGGGTGCTATATATTTCCAAGTTGTAGGACATATTTTGTTACTAACGGTCAGACGAAATATATTGCTAATAGTAAATATCTTGCCTTTGTGCAGCATGAAATGGGTTGAATTGAAGATGGGACAGCTTGGGGTACTCACTAATCCCAGTTACAAAATTACTGCTCTTCTAGACCATTTAGCAATGATCACAGTTCAATCAGATAGTAGGGGTATCTTCGACTGCAAACCGCTTGGCTTAATTTGGGCACATTTTCCTGAGGTTCGATTGTTACGAGTTTGTTTTTTTCACTTTATTTCATTCATTGATTTCCGAAATGAATCATCTGTTAATTACCCTTACCAATGCAATAAGTACATTGACAGCTGTTGTTCCTTCTATAAACTACAATTACACAACTGTATATGTGGGACTTTGGCAAGAGGGTAATTTGGTAAAAACTAAAAAACTTGTAATTAGCTTGGTCTTTCCAAGTTGGATAGCTAGAATGACATGTAGCAGTAAATGGCAGGCATGGTTAAATCCATCCTTGTGCTAGCTTGACTTGTGTATCTTTTCATGATCTGGCTGCAGTTCTACAGCTCAAAGAATACTATAATGTTTGATGATCTACGGAGAAACTTCGTGATGAATCCACAGAACGGATTAACCATAAAACCATTCAGAAAGGCACACGCAAACCGAGACAGTGACAGGGAACTAGTGAAGCTCACCCAGTACTTGCTCGCCATTGCTGATCTGGACGACATCAGCATCCTCGATCACAAGAAATGGGAGTTCTACGATGAGGCAAACGTCAAGCGAAGACGCCACACGTAGCAAGAATGTCTCTCCTGGTCCCGGCATCCTTCTCAAGATATGTTTGTAGTCTTGAAGATCATTTAGGGGACCTTATTTATGATGCAAGCCTCTTCTTATTTTTCCCTTGTCTTTCACACATTTGTAGGGGTGTTTCTTGCTTGGTTAAATTCGGTTTATTCTATTAAGGTCAATTGGTTAACTTATTATACCGAATATAGTATAAGAAACCATCATAAAATTGGGCAATCTGATTAGCTTTTATAATCAAATCAAATATATACCAATTGCAATTCTCATGTCTCTACGGACCAGGTGCCGTTTACCGAACATTTACCCGGTGAGCGTTTATCGTAAAATTTAACACTATTATTTACTTACCGAGTAAGATTTTAATTCACCAAAACAAGTATCGTATGCAACAATTTACCCGGTAAGCGTTTATCGTGATAAGAGTCGTCGTCCTCACTTATTGGGTAAAACTTTTGGTCCTTGTCTCGGCTCTTATAGGGTAAAATTCTTGGTTCTTACCATATTATCCGTTAAGATAATGTATAATGTGACTTGATGTTCACTTACCCGAATAAGCATTTGGTAAACGGCTACATGTGGATTGGTTTTCGGCCTTGTTGCACAACTTCGATGGTTGGAGAAGTACACTTCGTATACGATCGTGCAATCCAATTTCATTTGATTAAAAATTTGATGTAAATAATAAATCTTTTTGATACGTAACACCAAATCTTATATCAAAATATAAAATTTAGGTATATTTATTTTTATGTTTTCTAATTGTTGTAAATGAAAATGTTGATATTTGACATCCGAAGATGATGATACAAGTACCAGAGGTTGTTTATCTAAATGCTTACCTGGTAAGTGTTTATTTATAGGAGTCAACATTATACTTTATTTTGATACATAAGATTTTAGTACATCAAAACGCATTGAATGCAACAATTTACCGGGTAAGCGCTTACCTGTGTAAGAGTCATCATCTTCGCTTACTGGGTAAGACTCTCCATCCTTCTCATCACTCTTATCCGATAAGATTTTTTGGCCTTTGTCATGTTTATACGATTAAGAAATTTATCTGATAAACACTTACCAAGTAGCATTTAATAAACGTCCCCCGACAACTATAACTGTTAAAAGCGCATCTATTTGTGCTTTAAAATAACTAAATTTTTGTTCACTAATTCTTTGGTTACTTGTTGTCAAGTCAACTCTAGCTTTTAATTGACTTGAAAACTTTTGATAATCAAGTCCCGAATTCATTTCTATAATCGATTGAACTCATTCTTTTTGATTTGTCGAAATAATTGAAATCCTCAAAAATACATCAATGAACGAATGGATTCGACACAATTATCTTCAATGGATTAACAATCAATTTCTTTTTCCGATTGCCTGCAAAAAGAAAGATGTTATCGACACGACCCTTGAACATTAACATTAACATTAAGAGATGAATAAACATTACACAACATCGAAAAACACCTCCAAATAAATGACAATCAAGACATGGAACCATCGCATAGTTACCACCATCACCTCCGGCGAGCCACCAACTGGAATGGAAGCCAGTCGAACGACTACCAGGTGCAAATAAGTTGCTGAATTAGCATAACAACATACACAACCACCAAAAAACACAAGACACCGCGTGAAACCGGCAAATAATTTGATCTTTTGCCATTGAGATGACAAAATGTCGGTCAGAGAGATGAGTCAAGATACGAAAATGCCCGTTATGCGTTGTGAAACTTGTTATTCAGATGTGAAGCGGGCCAGAAACAGCATCACGCACTGCACCAGATTCTTTGTTCTTCAAAGAAAGGTTTGCAAACTGAGATTCCACACTATCCCTACTGTTGGTATGCCGGTGGTGGCTAAGAATTGGCTGTTCGGTTGGCGGTTGTTGCTGCTGTTTATATAAGGTTCTCAGTCTCCCAATCTCTCTCTCTAGAACTTCATGTTCCACTGCAAAAAAAAAAAAAAAGAACAGTTGATTCAGTTTTCCACATATAAATGAATAGTTTACCTTCTACTGCAAAAGGAGACGGGAGTTGTATATTTTCCTTTGTAATATTTTTGTGTTTCACATTTGATTTCCCCTCTTAACTAGTTTTCACATAAATACAACATGAACAAAACTAGATCAACTATGCCTCTGTTCAGGAGGCATCATGTACATCCTATAACGATAAGCCAAACCAAACAAAACAATCACAAGTATGGTTTTTTTTTGGGGGGGGNAAGATGCACACATGCTTTTCGTCCACCTCAAAAGGTAGAGAGACGGTTTCTAAAAGTACCCCTGGTTTGAGAAAGAGATTTGGGAAGCATAGCTAGAAGCCACAATTTTGGAAATATTAATAATTTAGGAACAGATTAGAAAAGATTACAAAGAGCCTGAATCAATCAAAAAGAGAATTGAATGCAAGAAGAAAAAACAAAAGAGAGAACGAGAAGACAAGTTGATCAAGGACGATAGAGAAAGCAAGACCTAGCTAAAGAGCACATGGGACACTCCGAAAATTCCCCCTCTATCTAATCCTACACCACTGCAAACCTATCTATCAACTCTCTAGTCTCTACCCTTCCCTCATCCCACCCTCCCCTCCTACCTCCCCCCCCCCCCAAAAAAAACAACTACAGTACCTAATAGGGTCCTACAAGTAATCAGCTACCCAATAGGAATGGCATACAATCCAAGCCCTTTCATAGTTTCCTCTTTTTTAAATCTCCCATCACGTACACTATTCTAATTCAATTTCACCAATATGTGGCAAGTCTTGGTTGACCACATTGAAACATATTATATCGACTTCCTAGTTCTTTTCTTGTTAGTTTGTAGGGTTGAGACGGGCATAGCAGTCATGGTACAATAGTTGGTCCTCTGTATGGTAGTTTATTATCTTATATGTTTATAGAGAAAAGGTGGTGAGTGTATGCTATTTACAAATATGCATATCCAGTTGAGCTAACCAAATCCATTAAATAAATGCCGGAAATCTTCTTTTGAAGTGTGCACTTTCCCGTACTAGTTGTCCTGTGCAGGTGAACTTAAGGAGGTGTGTAGCAGAGAGCAAAAACTTATCATCCAAATCATCTCCTTTATACTACTTCATAACTCGTTCATGACCAACAAATAGTACAAAGAATCCAGACAATGAAGGTAATCGAAGGGATAATTATCTCAGCACAACCAACCACTGGACTACTTATAATTTAAGCCAAATAGTTAAAGTTCAGTTAACTAGGTCACTTGGGCAATGTTCTGAATGAAATTATAATACAGTAAAGAGTGCACAGGACACTTATTTGCATGATATAATCTCATAAAGATATTGTTACTGCCTTTTTAATATTTAAATAAATGTTCTAACTGCACCTAGTTATCGCGGTAACTTTTCCTAGTTTAGTTATGCATTCTTGCTAGCTTCTTTCTTTGATTTCTGTCTCAACTTGCAGTACTTATAACCGCTGGTTACTTCTTCACTGAAAGATAGTTCACATTCATCTTCTTGTTCCAACATACACCACTATTCCTACTTACACCCCAGGAACTACCCCAAGCTTGGCTCAGATAGTTCACCTTGTTATAAAATAATTGCATCTATTGTTACTGTTTTACAATTGATTTATATGAAGACGATGCGTAAGTTCACATAGCATAATCTGACTAAGATACTACGAATGCTATCTTGACACTTAAAAAAATGCTCTAACTGCTCTTAGTTATTTCAGTAGCTTTTCCACTCAGCATAATAAAATTATTTGTTGTTATTGGCCTCCTCTTTTCCAGGTGGATGCAACTCAAAGTATCATCTCTAAATATCTGTCACTGCTAATTTTTTCTTCACTGAAGGATGGTTCAGTCACAAAACCATTATTCCTACCTGCTCCAGGAGCTATTCCAATCTATCTTACACTATGAGCCTAGGAAATAGCATTAATCAGCACCAGTAGGTCCAGGTTACAACAGACATATCAAAGTACTAGCTGGCATGTTTAGAAACTTACAGTACTTGATAAGTTGCTCCTGAGCCAAATTATCTAACCGTTGTTTCAGTGCTTTGTTCTCCATGCTCAGAATAAGACTTCGCTGATTTATAAACTTTAGCTCAGCAGAAACCTCCGAACCTTCTGCCTGCAATCACAGCTTATGCTACATGACCTGCTTCGACTATATATGATCTATGAATGACAAGTTATGCTGAAGTTCTAATCTACCTGTAAAGCTTGTACATTTCTTTCCAACTCAGCTATGTATTGAAGCTTTCGGACCCGGGAGCGTTGAGCAAATTGCCTGTATTAGATAGCTCTTAGATTTGTGATAAAAGTTAATGATAAGCCAGATAAAGAATCCGATTGTTTACCTAAATTAACATATGTTTTACGTTTATAGCTGCCCAATATGTATTCCCCAAAACATTTAAAATAGTTGTTTAAGCATCATGTTAGTTTAACGTGTTATTGAAACCAGTAGTAAATCTTAAATTATACAAATGTTTGTACACATGGCCTGTTACAGAAAGTAGGAAAACCAACTTTGGAACTTTTAGAAATATTGCTAAACTACATAGAACACTTACTCGTGGATGAGGTAACCAGTTGTTTCATATGGTACCAGAAAGCTAATATTATCAAATATGTCATCCAAAAAAGAGGAAGCTTATGTGGCATGTGAAATATTTCATATGAAGCATGTATAGGCACTTGTGCTCCATCTAATGTGAAGCAATTCTACTTATTACTGTAAGAAGCTTTTGAGTGTGAACTCATTTCTAAAGCATAAAAAGGCGGAACTTTGAGTTTCTATTTTTGTATAAAGATGCTAGCTTCATTTTTCAACTAGCAGATTCAACTCTTAATACAGCGAACATGTAAGTTCATGACTAAAAAGTTTCTCTTGCCCTCCATGAGCTCCCAATATATTTTATTGTTCTACTAAACATATTTTTATGTGGGCATGTCACAAAAGCATTTATGATGTTTTTGAAGCCATTGCTTAGAAGACAAGATCCATAATCTCTAACGTGAATGATAACAATCGCAACCACAAGGGTGGTGCCTAATTGGTTTGAGCTTGGGCTCCAAAGGTCAAAAGTCCTGGAGGTCCCAGATTCGAATCCAAGGAGGAATAAAAATCCCCTTGTGGCCACGGAGGTTCAAATGAGGTGACTCCGGGCTACCCACGAAGCGGGTGGTTGCCCTGGGATTAGTGGGCTCGCATAGCGTGTTGGATATCCAGGTTAATCAAAAAAATTTGATAAGAGTCGCACTAAGAAGTTGCTTAACACTCACGTTAGTCCCAAGCAGAAGTATAGAAACCCACTCATATATAACAAGACCAAGCCTGAAATAGAAGTTAAAATTTGTATGTGTTTTCAGTTGCAACTAGGACTGCTCATGCTTGAAGATAATCATTGCACGTTAGAAGGGCTCTTGATAAAGTTATTTGAGCTTCAAATTCTTGAGAATCCGCAGCATGAAATCACAGGAGAACGATTAGTATAATATTTTGCTATCTATGGTCAATGGTTTGTACCATAAAGTGGTGAAATTACATCTAGACAAATTTCAAGAAAGTAACAAGTAAATGATTAAGTAGATACAAGTGGCAAGCCAATACATTAAAGTTCAACAACTCAAACCGTAGTCCGTCATTAAATGTCTTGTTCACTTCCTTCCTTGGGAAAACCAAATTTGATGTCTTGTTTCCTTTTGTGGAAAGACGACCACACCAAGACTAATCCATCCATAAGATCAATGGTAAAAGTTAGAGCTCTCTTAGGGCTCCAACCAGTATATAGACAAGATTCAAGGCTGTCATTTTCAAGTTGTCACAGAATTGTAGGATGAAATGTTTAGTGCTGGTTTCCACAAAGGCAATCTTCCCTAGAGGGCATGATATGAGGGTACTATGTGTAGGGAAAAACTTCAAGCACTCCTGAAAACTTTCCTCTTCCCTTGGCCCTTGAAGTATATAAAGCCAGACTTAGCTTAAGAAGGCAGTGAAGTCTTAATACCTCATATCTCTCCTGTAAACCCACCCAAAGCAGTGGTGCACAGATGCCTTCTACAGAACCTTTAGGGATTTTAAATGGACTTGATGGAAACAAGTCACATTATAAAACCCCAATCATGTCATTAAAAGACATTATATTTCCTATTTTTTATCGTGTAAAAGTTCAGGATGACCAAATTCCCAAACAATGGTTTTACCAAATCGCAGAAACATGAACGTATATCATTATGATTAATTTGGTGCCAATATATGCAAAAGGAGAGACCGAGTTTGCTTACTGCTTGGCACGTTTTGTGTCTGTTTCTGATGCAGAAGCCTTGGTATTAGAAGCGTCATTCCTTTCAAAGGAAGTGTGTGAATCTTGTGTACAAGATTCAACAGTGTCTTGTTTTTCAGTTGTCACTGAAGCAATTTTCTTGACCTCTTGTGAAGCACCTGATGTTGTAGAATTTTGAAGAACAAGGCTGTCCCTCAAAGAAGCTGTGCCACTAGAATGTGCCAATGCATTTTGTGGTGAATCCCAAGCCTGATTCTTTTTTATCAAGGGACTATGTTCTGCATAAAAAGATGCATTTCGGGCATCTTTATAAAGATCAAAGTCTTGAGATCCCCATGAAGGAGCAGAATTCATGTTTCTCAGTCTATACTCAACTTGTGCAGCACGTTCTATGTTGGCATTAGCCGCTTCCATATATGTAAAAGAGTCACTTGATGAGCGCCGATGACCTCTACGCACAGGTGTTTCTGGTTCATCAAGAAGTTCGTCCAGCCAAGAAGGTTGTTCTTCTATCAAAAGGCTTTCAGAAGAAGTACGTTGATGGTGTGAATTGCCATCCTTATACTTTGGTACCCCTTTTGGTCCACTCACAGCAGTTGGGGCATAATCAGCATAAAATGGAGCAACGCTTGGAAATGGACTTTTAGGAGGAAGTGAATAGTGTTTTCCGCTGTACATATTTCTCATAGTTGATGGTCCCTTGGAGTTCTCCATAGCCAAATCACAAATACCTGACATATACATGATAACAAAGAAATTTTTAACACAGAGAAAGCTGATCTTAGTACTAATGATGTTACCATATGACTAACAAATATGGAGGCTGAATAAGTACCAAATGACAAGTGACAGACTATGTTGCAAACTATAAATCCAGAGACAAACAAGTATAATCATATGCCTTGCTTCAAATTCTAGAGAAAGAGACTTGAGCAACATCAAAACAATGTCTAAATCAATGTACAGGAAGTAACACATAGTCATAAAAATGTCAGAGAAACTCCAGTCAAAAAATAATAACTTAATAACCAGAAAGAAAGAAAGCAGTACTTCAATAGTTGAGCTGCAGTGCAGGTTGATGAGCTCTGTGTATTTGTGCATGTCTAGACCTGCTCTGACTCCTAATCGTGCACCCTGCCGTAAATAACTTGCAACCTGCCTAAACTTGCATTCACATGTTTGAATTTGCAGTTTCTCTCAAATCAAGATTGTCCACACAACATTTCAATATCAACTATATACAAGTATCTCCCTTACTTCAGAATCATATAAGTGAATGCCACTATAAAAAACCATGAAGAACAATCACAATCAAGTGATCGTCTCTTCCAACTGAATCCAATAATTTCTCAACAAACCAAACTCCAAGCTAATACCAGTGAGAGAGTAGCATCCGATTCACATGTAAAAAAATCATCGTAAAACAGTGACTGCATTCATTATCATAACATATAAAGTCAAACTAATTTCCATCCATACTCTTCATCCTCCCTTCTAATTTAGTCCTAGAATCTGCACTTTATTTCTTCCTATCCCACTTTCCCCTAATAATCAGAAGAAGAAAAAAACCATAAATTCTTCCTTGCGTACATTTGATCATGAAACGAATAATCTTGAAGTTCAAACCGAATAAAATCAATCCAACCTACTTGATCATTACCTTTATTAAGTAGTGAAGATCTTCAAATGCAATGTGATTTGGGATGGTAAACCAAATCAAGTTGGAATTGAAGCTCACCTTGCTTCCACCTGATAGTTGATTATTAGGGTTTCTTCCTCCTCTCTCTCTGTCTGTCTCTCTGGTCTCTACGAATGATCTGCGCTCTCTCTCTCTCTCTAGAAATTTTCGAAGGAATATGGATTGGGTTGTCGCTGGTGGTTGATGAGTAAGGCTCTCGCCTTTGACAGCCCAAACAAATTATTTTATTTTTCACTTGTGTCGTTTTCTGTTTTTTTTTTTTAACATTTATTTCATTAATTATTATCTTCTATTTTTTATAAATAAAAAAATACTTAAATATAATATTTATATTTTTCATTTTTGTTAATTAAAAGGGTACTCGCACAATACAGATATATTTTGATTTTAATATTTTATTTTATTATTTATCTCAATTGATATAATAATATGGTCTTATGTGAATTTTAAAAAAGCAATAATGTTTTTATTTTTGAATAAAATATAAATTTAAAGATATCATTAAAGTTTGACAAAATTACATCGATATTAATATCAAATTAACTATTTAAAATTCCTCATTTTTGTGTAATTTTTTAATTATAATTTAATTTAAGTTCAATAATGAAGTAATTTATTTTTGATTTAGTAATATAATTTTCTTATAAAAATAATAGTTAATTATTTTGTTAGAACTCGATAATTATCCTAATTATATTTTAGATTTTTTTATATTTTAAATTGATATGTTTATCTTCTATTTGATTATGTTTATCCGCACTTAGTTATACGAATTCAAACATGGAGCTTTAATAAGTTGTACTTATGCATAATTTACTTGTAATCTTGAATTTTAAGTAATATGCATCAATATACAGTACTTCATGCATAAAAATTGGTTTTTAAGAGTTTTTGTCAAATGTTTTATAATATAGTATAAATAGGATCCAAGGACCAAAAACTAAACGAAACGTCGTTTTGGTTCACGTTATGTTTTTAAGGACTGGAATTTGTTTATGGAATTGAAATTTGTAGACAATTATAATTAAATGTTATCAAATTTGAGTAAATAATAATCAAGATATTTATTTTCTTTGAATTTTTTTTTATCTTTTTCTTAAATTGTATATAATAATAAATTAAAATTTAATGTGAAAGAATGTATAAATCACGTTTTATTAAATTAAAAGTAAATACAGATTTATATATATATATATATATATATAAAATAATATATATATAAATCAAGAGCAATTATAGATATAATATATATATATATATGATACATACTATATTATATTGTGTTATACATATAATATATTAATCCATACAATATAAATCAAATACAAATAATATACACCAGTCTCAACAATCTATCCAGTCTAATAAATATCTGACTCCTTAAATGTATTGATTGTTTTTTAATATAAAATATTGATTATAATTAATGAACTATAATTATTTTCTATAATATATAAATGATAATAAATGAACATTCTTCATTTCCATAAGTATATTAATTAACTGGTTTGTAGGGTTACCTTTTTCATGGTTTGTGTTTAATTTGTCTCTATACATGTGTGTATATATCTATATTATATTAATAAGCATTTAGACCAAAAGACTTAAATGCAACATATAAAGCCCAAAGTATTACCTTTTATGCATAAATTTAAAAAATCTTTTAATTACAACTTTACATGCACAAGGTACAATTGTTGATGCACATCACCAACAACATCTAAGTTGAAACTTACAACTTTGTTTTATTTCTTTCCAGCTATTTTCCTTCCTTATTAAGAGTTATCTTTCTTTCTTTTTTTGGTATCTTCACACCATTCTTTATTCATTCAAAATTTTATTTTAGCTAATTTTAGCTCTCCTTTGCAAAAAGGTGGATATTGGTTTCTATTTCGGTTTGTATAAGATAATTTATTATGTATTTACTAAATATCTGTTTCTTCCTTCATTATATTATTTGGACAACATAATTGATTTTCATGTCTGTGTACAATAAAATTCACCTTGATTCCTTATTTGTTGCATTGTATTTGATTACATCATGTTGTATCGCACGGGTACTCAACTATAAGGAATCGAGGTTTAAATATTTTTAAGGGTTCCCCTATAAGATGGATTGTTTAAATATAAATTTTGTACTTTTTAATGAATAGTTGCACTCATTTTTAGTTATAGGCTTATTTGAAAATTTGACATCCAGCCGTATTACGCGGGTACACAACTAATATATATATATATATATATATATATAGGGGTTGATTCAAATGCTAACCAAGATTATCGTGTTAACTTTGTTAACCGATCTTGACCGTTAATTTGAATAATAAACGGTTGTGATTTAATGATGTTTAAAAATTAATTATTAAATTAATATTTTCAATTAACATATGTGAACAAAATATCAAATGGTATTTAGGTAAAAAGTAATTTATCTTTGATACATGAATTGTCAGACATATGAACAACTTGTATATATCTTCAAACCACATCAAACAAAAAAATTAGATATATGAACAACATGTGAACCTTATAAACATCTTCTGTATATTCAGGAGCCAACTATGTTGTATGTACATGAACATCTATGAACCAAGGTATCTAGGGCTGTGTGTTTCATACGTGTTCACATGTTTTCACATGTTCTGTGTGTGTGTGTGTGTGTGTATTCATATGAACATCTAGTGACTTGAATATATATGAACACTTATGAATCATGACATCTAAGGCTGTGTGATTTCTGATGTGTTCATATGTCAAATGTGAGAACTGTCGATTAAAATAAATGTGAATTATAGAACATGAACACGTGTGAAACCCCAATGTCAATATTGCATCATGAGCAATTGTGATATTTTTAAAATTGTAACTCCCAATTAATTATTTGGGAGTTATATAAAATGACAAATTAATATATGAGTTACATTTGAAACATAGGAAAAAATGGAATATGATTGGTTAAGCTTGGTTAACATAGTTAACACAAAAAAATTGGTTAGTATTTGAACCAAACGCTCTCTCTCTCTCTCTCTCTCTCTCTTTATATATATATATATATAGAGAGAGAGAGAGAGAGAGAGAGAGAGAGAGAGAAAGATTGTTTTAAATGCAACTCATCACATTTGTATAACCAATGCAACCCAATAAATTGAAATATTTATGAAAATGATAAGAGTTCATTTTTTGATTTAAATATTTATGGAAGATGAATAAGATTCATTAATTATGATCAATACTTTATATTAGTAAACAATCAGAACTTCTATAAAATTACATATTCATCAAATTTAATAGATGGTTGAGATTGAGTTGTATTGGTTGTACAAATGTAAGAGTTTGTATAATAATTCATCTATATATATATATATATATCATACGATATTAAATAATATTATGGCGGTTGTTTAGTCTTTTTAAGAAGATGAATGTAATAGAATGACCAGATCCATATAAACCAAACACATGAATAAAATACGAAATTAACCATTTCAGTTGTTTCATATTTCATCAGAATCATGTGAACAAAATACCTCCTAAGAATTTAAATTAAAATAAAAAAGATGGAGATGTCGTTGTCATGAAGCCAATATATTGAGAGAGATTCACCAAACACAACTATCGCCAATGCTCAACTTGCCCATCTACAACCTCCATCATTGGAGCTGAGGTGGGTATGGGACCCACCAAATATGTAAAGGAATACAAAAAGAAAACATATCAGGAGTTTCTATTTTTTTATTATATTTTTTTATAAATAGTGATTAAATGAATCATTAAGTTGCATCATGACGTGGTTATTATTATTTCAATTTATATTTAAAATGCTTTATATTTTAAACAAAATTCTATAATAATTATGATATGATATGATAAATATACGATTATTTAAATATAACTAGTTGTGTATTCGTGCAATGTGGTTGGAGCCGTGAATTTTAACGATTTTAAAGTTTTACTGGTTTTATTAGAGAAGATTTAACGATAATAAAAGTTTACACCTGGTCTTTACATATTAATACAATTTGAGTTATGGTTTCAATTACAGTCTATCGATGAAAAAAAATTGTATGACAGTTTAAAATCCAATATATTTAAAATCCAACATATTTTAACGACTCCATAAATGTGTTCGATTTACATCAAGAACAAAGAATCAATATATCGAGAGCGAGACCGAGAGTTCTAGAGCAATTGAATGAGATAACTTTTAATAACTCATGGTGAATATGAGTTTGAATCTCACCTTTGGGGATGAGGAGAATACATAGAGGTATGAGAGGGTGAAGACATGAGTCAAATGTGTCAAAAGTATCTTGGAACATGAAAAAAAAAAGGTAATAATGTGCACTGATAACTTGTACTATATGTTATTTTAATTGTAAATTAAAAGATTTTAATATTTAATGCATAAAGTAGTCATTAAGAGACTAGAATGATTTTGAACATGTATATATATTTTGTTATTATCATTCGTTGCATGATCAATCACTACAGACGACAAATGATACGTGAGTTAAATAAAGGAAAATCTAATATTTTAAAATTATATCTAGAATGATATGAAAAGTGGAGATAAATCCATCCATATATAATTTGATCACTATGAACAAATCCAAATCTTTGTAGACAAAGCCAGTTGTCAGGTCCTTACGATGGGGGAATGAAATCCAGTTCGGTTAATAAATGAAAAGAAAAGGCTTTATTTTATAAAAAAAAATCCAGAAAACTCGATGAATATTCTCATTTTATGCCCCTTAACTTTTTTTTGGATAATAGTTTACTGAACTTTTTTATTTTAAATGATTAAGTCTTTAAATTTTTCGTTGAATAAATAAACCACCGAACTTGTATAAATTGGTTATTTACGTTCTTTTAACCCAAAAAAACTACATGTAACCGGCTACGAATGTTTTAAAGTTAAAAAAAACCCTTAACCGGTTTCATCTTCACAAACCATGCACCATTCAAACCCTTCGCACCCAACGACATCGTTCCCCTCGCCACTACTCGTTGCCCCAAAGTCGTCTATTCTCCATCACTGTCTATCGCCGTTGTTACCCCTTGATATTGATGTCCTTTTCTATTTGTTTTTTGTCTTTTGAATATTCTCCCTTTTTTCATTAATGAATTACATAGGGACAAATAAAAAACGAGAGAATCGAAAACAAAAATAACAGATTAAAAGAGGAAGATCAATGAAAGGAACCAACGTCGATGATGAAAGGTGAACAATGATGAGGCTGCAAGGGACGACAAAGAGCAGAAATGGTGTTGGATGCAAATGGTTTGGAACCGGTAAAATTGATTTAGAATTTTTTATTAATTTTAAAATCTTCCAAACCAGTTAGAGATGATTCCTTTAGTTAAAAAAATATAGGCAACCAATTTTCAAATTTTTATTTATTAAAATAAATATTTAGAGACTTGATCATTTAAAATGAAAAAGTTCAATGGTTTATTTATTTAAAAAACAGCTTAAAGACTTGATCATTCAAATATAAAAGTTTATTAACTACTTTATATTATGTTAATTATTTTATACTCTCGCTTCAAAACTTTTCTAGATTTGCCTATGTTTAAATAATCATATACAACATAAAATAAAATAAAAACAAGTGACGATCGGCCCTTAAACCAGTTATAATTGCCACATAACCGGTCCTTAGGTCAAAATGTGTAACTTGATGTGGACCAATTATAACCAAGGGTTGGGTTCAAGAGTTAAGATGATAAACGTAATAAGTGATCTCCACCCTTAAATGCACATTAAGATGTAATACACTAAAATGCACCTTAAGATGTAAAACACTAAAGTGCACCAGATCAATTCTCATATTAAGTACGATTCATAGGTGAGTTAGAAATTAAAAGTGATCTAGAGTCCAGATCTCGTCTTACGCTTTTCAACTTAACTCTGATTCCCACACGATCATTCGCCTTGTAACCAATCTGTTTTTCTTAACTTTTATCGTTGGCTAGCGAAAGAGCACCACATAGTGTCTTTTTATATAAAAAAACCTTTGTGACCGGCAACCGGCCTTAACCAATCCCTTAGTAACCGGTCCTTACAAAAATCATAACAAAAGAGATTAACCGGTTATCACCAATCCCTCCCTAACCAAACAAAATGCACCCGGTCCCAATCTGGGACTTTACCAGTCCTCGGTCCATGCACACCTCCGGATACAACTATCACCTCTAAGAAATTTGGGTAACCGGTCCTTCAAAAAATCGTAACTGATAGGGATCAACCAGTTATAACCGGTCATCGGTACTTCATAGTTCATACACACCTCGAGGAGTCATTTAAGTAAATGACCTTAAACGAGTTTTAATTAAATTCATGACTTCCTATCTATATAAGGGAAAATGAGTTTATATTCATGAGAAGGTCATGAATTTAATTAAAATCTCATTTAAGATTATATACCTACAAATCTCCACCTCTCTCGAGATACAAGTATCATCTCTTAAGAAATTTGGGTATGCAACCAAACCATTTCCATTAGACCCAGAAAGGTTGGAAGGATCCAAACCCTTTAATCCCATTATGCCTATCAAGTTCGAGCCTAGGGACTGCACCTGATCCTAATTGACCTCAGGCCTTTCTTTGACCATCTCAACCTGAACCATCAAAACCACAAGTAACAATATCATGAAATAGATCCTTGTGTGAAAAAAGAACTCCAGTCCATGTAGCCCTGAAACAAAACAACTATGTTACACTCTGGTCCGAGTTGTTCCCGATTGTAGTGGCAACGAGTTTCTTGACCTGACTGGTCAGTTCTATTTCCCGATGTGGCAGGGGACTTGAAGTGGTTTGTGTTTCCCTCAGGGTGTGTTTGGTACACTGGGCGTTACAGAACAAAAGCTTGTTCCCGATTGTAGTGGCAACGAGTTTCTTGACACTGGTCAGTTCTATTCCCGATGTGGCAGGGGACTTGAAGTGGTTTGTGTTTCCCTCAGGGTGTGTTTGGTACACTGGGCGTTACAGAACAAAAACTTGTTATCCCACGGTTGACATAAAAATTAGAAAAAAAAGACAAGATTGGTAAATTATTAAACAGTTAGGTTCCAGTGAGAAGGAGAGTTAAAGTGAGAAGTGTAAGAAGGGCATGTTAGGATGAGATGCATTGGATCAATCCCCGTATCAAGAACGATTCATGGGTGGGTTTGAGATTAAAGGTGATCTAGGGTCCAGATCCCTTCTTACGCTTCTCACCTTAGCTCTCCTTCTCACACGATACTTCGCCAATTACTAAATTACCCATATCGAACTAAAACCCTAAAACCTCCACAAGTCTTTAACCCCCCCAACCCAATACCTTGCTCTTGCCCATCCAATCCCATAGGCGTACCAAACGCACCCTAAAGGGAAAAGTAGTCTCTCAGCAATATGGGTCATTGCATATCGGAGCATTTTTTACAATTTCTGTTAGACATGGTAAAGACAGACCCTCCTTCAAACATACTGTTCAATAATCCCATCCTCGCTGATGATGACAATTTCCACAAACCAACGTTGGTCAGGGAAAATATACGCTGAGATTCATCTCAAAATACAATTGAACAACAGCTTCAATGATTTTAGCCAGTGGTCATCTGTTGTTTATGTAAAGGTGTACAGAGACTAAAATTAGCAAAAATGGGTTCTTCACGATGGTCAAAACGCAAAACCGTTAAAAAGTCCAAAAACCATCAATCAACTAATTCTAGAAAGCGGGAACAAACAGCACAAATAAACATCCATCTCATTGACAAAACGCAATCCTTACCAATAGCCATGTACTGTACCAGCATCAGGAACCTTAAGTGGATTCTTTCAAACTTGTACCTGCAAAAGACAAGTTAAAGAACTTGAGGTATCAAAGACAAAAACTTCTAAAATGCCTACTGATTGCAACTTGAAGAACACAGGCACCATGTTACATGATACAAATTTGCCACAAACACTTTTCAGATGCAAAATCAATATACATTTTATTACAAAATATAAATTTACCACAAACACTTTTCCATTTGTATTGCTAGAGAGAAGAAATTGATCATGGAAAGGTTTCTATTTCTTTTGAACAGGGGGATACATGTTAGATATGGAAGCCCAAATGTAAAACATTGTAGTGATCAGCATGTAGTAATTTATCATAGCAAAAGTAGAAAAAGCAAGCTTTCTTGGTATAAAACTAAATAAAAGTTTATAGAACTTAAGGTTTGCCCAGTGGAACGGAAGACGCATAAATATAATTCAACACAAACAAACAGAAACTGCAGTAGAAGATTATACCATCACCAGAAACAACTAAAATAACTAGACACATTAGAAGAGGTGACGCTGGTTTTTAACATACAATGAATTTCGTAATAGGACCTACGGGTTAACGCAGTAACATTAAGAATGCTATGGAGCATAAGTAAATGCAATTAGCATTATTCCTTCGTTAGGCAGAGTATGAAGTATCATTTCTTAATGTCCAAAGACATGCAATAATAGGTCAAAACTATGAGAAAAAACTTCAATCACCAGAGCCAGTACTTGGTCATGTGTGGGAGATATGACCCTGTTTCATTAAGTAACTTAACACACATTTGAATTGTTCATTAAGTAACTAGTCGCTCAATGGAGTTTAATTTGCTTTTTCTAAGCATAAAAAGCTGAAGGAAACCATAAAATCCTTCAAAACACACCACCACGGTCTTTTCAAACAAGGTATTCTAGTAAGAAACTAGCACCTAGGGAGTGTCTGGATGATGAGGAACAAGCCATTTACAGGTTGCAATGAAACAAACATACACAGAAACAGCAGTATCATACAGTAAAATACATAAGTAACCGTAGCACACAAATTGGTACATGTATAAACCAAAAATACTATTAAATAAAGGAAGTGTATGACACAAAGAAGAACAAACCACAGAGTAACCTTGTTTCCGTAAACAATCATTTCTATATGGTCATAGTCCACAACTCCACATCAATAGAGAATGACCATATTTTTTAGGTAACTTGAAATCCCTGCTAGAAGTGTCGCACAGATTTAATGATATAATAATTAGATCAACTACTAATCCAAGAAACTAAACCAGTATGTGTTGTGACCTTTTCCCCAATATTACCTATATTAAGATACAGGAGAGAGATAATGATCCACAAAAGTAATCTAGTCAGATTAAGCAACATGTCTTGGAAACCTGAAACATGGCTCAAGTGTGCAAATACGTACTGGCTCTAGGCTATTGTTCTAGCCTTCAGAGACATACCTTTTATTCCAAATGGCTTGGAAGTGTCATCAATGCCACTCTTCCGAGCCTTACAGACTTCCTTCAGCTGTCAATGCTCAAGCTGCTGAAAGGTGAGATTGGGACACGTAACAGGTGCTAGCATGGTATAAATCTCACATTGATATTTCACTTCAATCCTCATTCACATAAATACTTTTCATATAGAACTCTCAACCTTTTGTGTATTATGCAAGTGATAATGTAGTACTATAATGGCAGGCTGCATTTTTGACAGAATATATATGGCCAAAAACCAAAGAAAATTCCCATGTAAAATGAAAATTTGAACCTAGAGTCATTACCAAAATATGGAATCATGACCGGTAAAGAAACATTTTCAGATTTACAAAAGAAAAGCATTCATTGTGCATGTAACTTGAGTACTTTCATCAACTTCTCTACCTATAACCATAAGTATTGCTATCATTGAGGAACTGAAAAAACTAAGTACCCATTATCCCAACGAACTCTAATCTCCTGTCCAACTTGCAGTCCCTTCCCTCTGATGATTTGACCCCATTTTCCAATGAGATTGTAGTAACTACCACGGCACTTCAACTTCATCAAAAATAGATCACCTGTGTCATAATCTCGAGCATTTACATTTATTTGGAGCTCATTTCTTAATTGCTCTCGTGCCTGTGATGCCCAATACAAAAGAATATGATCTTCAATTGACTTTCCAGGCAATGTGAGGAAAGGATGATTTGTATCTACATCAGACAAAGTTAGTGCCTTTTTAATTGGCCATTCCTCTTGTTGATGTATCACCGGGATTGTAGCAGGCACAACAGTCTGCTCATAGGGAACAGAAAAGTGTAGGCAACCATTAGCCCAGCGTATTTTGATCTCTTTCCCTACGCCTAGTCCCTTACTACGGATAATTTTTCCCCATTTTCCTATTAGATTGTAATAGTTACCACGCCACCTCAGTTTCATCACATATATATCCCCTGTATCAACATCTCGTGCATTCAAATTTACTTGTTCTTCATTTCTCAGCAGCTCTCGTTGCTGCGGCGTCCAATGAACAAGAATATGATCTTCAACTGATCTCCGTGCCAAAGGTAGGAAAGGATGATTGGTATCCACATCAGACAGTGTTAGAACTTTCCTAATAGGCCACTGGTCATGATGCACCACCGGTGCGGGGATAATCTGCAATGGTGGCACAGCAAGAACTTGTTGTTGTGGAACCGAAAAGTGTAAGCATCCATTAAACCAGCGTATTTTAATCTCCTTCCCAACATCAAGTCCCTTGCTACGTACAATTCTTCCCCACTTGCCAATAAGGTTGTAATAACTCCCACGCCACTTTAATTTCATCACATAAACATCACCAGTGTCATCATCTTGAGCGTTGATGGCCACTTGCTCTCTGTTGAGCAAATGGTCCCGCTCAAGTTGCGTCAGATGCACAAGGATGTAAGTCTCAACGGCCTGACGAGGCAGAGTGAGAAATGGATGGGTAATATCAACGTCAGAAAGTGTGAGAGCCTTTCTGATAGGCCAGTCATCCTGTACTTGTAATGCACTGTTATGTCTAGACCGCCTCATGCCTGTGAGTAATGTATAAAAAGAGAATAATCTGTTACAAGACTGAGCTTTTTCCAAAACAGATTAAAAAAATGACAGCGTCTTAGTAACGGTTGGAGCTTAATTAACACAGATGACAACAAGCACCATGTAAATGGACAAATACTTGTCCATTCAAGCAACGTAAATCCACAACTAAATAGCTACAGGACTTTTCTCCATCAATAACAAAGAAATTGGATGGGGAAGAGAAACAAAGAAAAAAACCTCAAGACTGATATCGGACCAAGAAAATCTAGTCCCGAGTTTGCTTCAGCTTATAGTTGTATTAAACCAACCACTCACTTTCTTCTCTCTCTAAGATTAATCCATCAAGGAAGAAAAGACAACAATAAAATTTATTGTCATGGCTTTTCTGGTATCCTGTGTACATCTTGGAATGTGATTCAGGGGAAAGCTACAACAGATCGTGTATGCATTAATTTCACAGATTGATTTAGATCAATATACTGCCCCAATGACACATCCAAGAACATCTACTGCAATATCCTAAATGCCATCATGGGTATAGCTGTCTAGAGATTAATCAACATACTCGCTCTTGTACAAATACTCTTCACCCAACTCAAGATCATCCACCCAGATGCATCATCGGACATGCTCATACATAGGTCGTTGATCAAATGGCACCAACAGCTATTTTGTAATATAGATTTGGCATCTTGCAAGTGGTTCTTTTACTTCCTAATTTGTCGTTAATTAGAGCATGTATACTGAAATTCACTAAAACCTTCCTTGGATTTCACAGCAAAAAGGTCCTATCTATTTAGTCTATTCTTTTAAGCGGTGAATACTTCTGGAAATACATTAGTTAATCAGGAACCTAAACCAGCTACATTTTGCAAATAATACAGAGTAAACAATAGCTTCTGAACAATTCGAGAGCGGCAATAAGTACAAAGTAGCTTGCGACGTGATCCTCTTCAACATTCAAATTTCAATCATAGAATAACCAAAGTGCGTGCACGCCAATCGCAAGTTTAAGCCACACCGAAAACAGGCTTCTGCATCTAACTATGAAATGCTAAAAAACCCAACTCCTCAAATAAATAAAAAATTCAACATCGACCCAACCTAATGAAGAATAAAGAAAATTGAAAAGCAGAAGCAGAAGCAGTAGGAATAGGGTGATTGATGATGATATTGAAAGAAATAAAGTAAGAAATATACCTGTGGTTGATGGTATAAGGATTTGATCGAGAAAAACCCTAGAGAGAGAAAGTCATAAAAATTGGGGAATTATATATATATATATACAAGTGAAAGAAAGGAAGAAGATAATTCGTTAATGGTGGTGGTGTTGATTGTGTGGATGAAATTGGTAAAGGAGGGTGGCGGTGGGGGTGGGGGTGGTGGTGGTGGTGGTGATTTTGGTGTGGGGAGGAGGCTGGAGCTGAACTGGCAAAAAAATGGAGGCCAATTTGCGTGAACAGAAGGAGAATAATGATTATTTCATGGAAACCTTCTTTAAAATCAAACATTTTCTTTTAATTAAATACAATTAAGAAATATGTAATTTCATTTAATTTTTTATTTCTTTATGTAAAATAATAAAAAAATATCGAAATTGTTTTTATTATATAATTAAAATATTTTGAATGTTTTATGTAAAATGGATAAAAATATATTATTTAAAAAATGGATAAAATTAAAATACAAATTAACTCATATGTATATTATAAAGCATTTAACAAAAATTCTTATAAACCATTTTTATGTATGTAGTACTATTATTAATGTATATTACTTAAAATTTTAGATTACAAGTAAATTGTGCGTAAGTACAATTTATTAAAGCTCTATTTTTAAATTCGTATAACTGACTGCAGATAAACATAATCAAATATATGATAAACATCTCATTTTAAATATAAAAAATCTAAAATATAATTAGAATAACCATTGAGTTCTAACAGAATCATTATCTTTATAAAAATTATATTGTTAAGTCAAAAATAAATTACTTTGCTATTAAACCTAAATTAAATTATAATAAAATTGAATTAAAGAAATTGTACAAAAATATCCATGTACTTTTTCAAATTTTATGATATGTTCAAATTTATTTTTATTCAAAAGTAAAGACATTGTCTTTCTTAATTAAAACCACATAAGTTGTATTATACCAACAGAGACAAAAAATAAAACAAAACATTAAAATAAAGATGTATCTCGCTGCATTGCACGAAAACCCTTCTAGTTATTTTTATAAAACTCGCTTTGAAAATTTTGAATAGATTTTTATTACTTTGAACTTTCACAACAAAACATTAAATTTGATATAAAATTAAATATTTATATAAAAAATAAAACATTTACATGAAAGATGTCGAAAATTCACAAAAAATACATATAGAATTTTTACAGTATATATTTGAACATTTACAGTGTGTTTCATAGTCTCATAAAAAATGTTTATTTTCATGGCAACCCGACCATTTAAAGTATATTATTTAAAGGGGATTTAATCTTTTTTTTTTTTTACTTTGATTGATTTCTTCTCTTTTCAAATTTATAATCCAATCAATATCCTAAAAAAATTGAGTATCAGATAAACACAATTCAATACTGTATTTTCTTTGTTAAAAGACATCTCGACCTGTATAGTTTCATTATTCAAAGGTTAGGAATTATAGTCAACATCAGTTCCATTATAACAAATATCATCTGGATGGGTGAATGGAATGTGGGAAGATACTGATTATGGGGGAATACTATTCGGTCAAAAGTTGATTAAGATTACTCATCTTTAAAATGTGATAATCATTTAGTTGCACATCCAATCAAGACAACAAACAACTTTTATCAAAACACCAGAAACTTACAAAGGATTCGTAAAAGACAGAAAAAAAACACCTGGCAAATAAACCTAAATAAAAAAGATCTGCATAAAGAAGTGCGGCGAGCCTAAGAAACTTGAGCCCAACTAAGAACACGACCAAAAGAAACCATCACCAGAAATAAAACGAAGCACTCTAGAACGAGATCTAGCCATGACCCGAACATCAAAAAGGAGTAGGAGTTGACCATCAAAACCTTGGCCTCCGCACCAATCAGACCAAGAGAGTCCAAACCTTCTGCACACTTATGGTTGAAAAAAGCGATCGATTTGTTGATTGTCGACTACTTTAAAAGTCCGATTTATCCGCTGAAACCAAATCGAGTAAAGAGTATAGCAAACCACCGCTTTCCAATATATCCTAATTGGATTTCGAACGACGATAGAGTCCGTACATGCAATGAGATCATCTAGAGAGATAGATGATGTGATGCTCGAACTCCACTATTTGAAGACTTTCTCCAACAACTGAAAACTCTTTGAACACTTGACGAAACAATGCTTGCGAGATTCGATCTCTTCCTCACAACACGGACAAAGAATTGGAGCAAGATCAATGCATTCTGCATTCTGCATTCTCCTCCTTTCTGATATTTGTTGGTTAGCCCTCATTTCTGCTCGCTTTTAAGTAAAATGTAAGCCATTTATTGATATTACTCTTTTTATCATTCAAAATCAACAGTATTTTGACATATTTATCAAAATAGTTATTTTAACGTTTATTTAGGAGGGGTGTTTGAGATTGCTTATAAAAACAACTTATTGACTTATTCCGGTGTTATACCGGTAATAAACATTTTTGAGTATTTGAATAAATAAATTATATCTGTGTCAAACGGATAATAAGAAGTTAAATCTATCAGGTGCTTTTATAGGAAAAAAATAGTTTGTCTCCCAAACACCCCCTAGGGAGAAGAGCTCAAAAGGGGGATTCAAAGCAGCAGTGAGCAGATGTTTGTTCAATCGTTTGGTGTTATTCGGCAGATAAACAGGTGAGTAGAATATCTGATTTTTTTACAGTCGTTCGAGCAAAGAGCAAACTTTTTTGTTTTTCAGAGGAAGAAACGAAACGACAGTGAGTGGCAATAGGGGAGATTCAAAATCTGGGAGTTTTTGTTTCTTCAAATGCTGAGAGGGTTATCATTTGCTTTTGGAGAACATGCCCACCAACTGTTCGATGAAATACCCAACTAGAGTTATCCTGACGTGGTGAATTTGTTTTATTATAATGAAGGCATTTAGGCATGTACGGAATCATTTTCATGTCCCGAATCCTCTCAGAATCAACAAGTTGACTGGAGTTGTTCATCTATATGCAAAGTCTTATCACTCCTTAACTGAACCACAGTTGGATGATCATCTGTCGTTTGAGTGGTGTGAAAGGGCCTTCCCAAAACTAATCAAGTTGACTCAATTGCTGAATGGTTTTGATTTGATCAATGGAAGATTGGTTAATGTTCATAACAAATGTGTTGTGACTGATGAGTTTCTTATGCAGAGCATGCATACTTTTAAGTCACTTGGCACAGCCTTTCTTTGGTCTCCTTCCATGCAGCAAACATTATGTACAGCGAAATCGCCATCTATTTGTGTTAATAAGCCAATTTATCGGAAACCCATTGCTGTGAATTCTCTCAAGAAAGTATGCGATATCTTAGAAGTATCTGCTCAGCAGCGGAAGCTAGTCCGTCTTGCAATATGCCCACAGATCACACAGCACCAAATATGGATGGCTGCACTTGGAGAGATATTGAATCAATTGAAATATGAAATGGGTGTTAAAGATTATGGGTGCACAACCAAAGGGGATAACATGGGTCAGCAAATAGTGGTCAACTGTCTTGGGTTCTTGGATGATGCTGTGGCCTACGACCCTGACTCAACCTCATGGATGCGGCTTGCGCCTAAAAGAGATGCAGACTCACCACCACCTGCTAAATGGGCAGATTTTCTTGAGATGTTCAATGATTTAACAAAAATCTTGAAGAACGATCAGGAATTTCTCTTTTATGTCGCAAAGCTTGAGATCATGAAAGAAGGGTTGCTACAGATAAAAGATGTTTTGGTAGATAAGAATATTGGATACAAAGAGGCTCGACACCAAGAACATCTAGTTCAGAAGAAATTGACTAAATCTTTGGGTCATTCATCTCAATGTTTGTTCACACTTCTATTATATTATCTATATGGCGATATTAGGGATATTGAGCTTGACATGTGCTGTTGGTTTTCCGCGGATGTTGGTGGGAACAAATTCTATTTGTGTGTTGGGAAGATTTTGACATCAGATGGAGAGAAAATGTTAAGGCATGCGGTCAAACAGTTGGATAGGGTGCTTGGGGTGATTAAATTCGTGCACGAAATGGCAGAAATGGAAGAGATTTTGGAGCTGCAGGGTCATCTATGGTGCATTGACTCTGAGAACAGGTCACTTACTTACAGAGGACACAAGTTCTTCATTCATGGAATTAGTCTCTGATGAAGGATATATCATCAAAGACACACATGTGAATGTATTCTCTTTTAAGGTAATTTCTTTTTCAAGAACTATATTTTACTGGAAGATCTATTTATTCAACATATATAATTAGGAATAATTATTTATGTAAACCCACATCTTTTCTTATCCAACCATGTGCTGAACTTAGAGCAATCTCTTTGATAAAAGAGATAGTTCGGGCTTAGGGCAGCTCCAATCCACCTCCGAAACACTAAAAAGGAGGTCATGTTCGCTCCAACACATCATTAAAACAATAAATCTTCTTTTGTGTCAATTAATCTACTATTCATTACCTCTAAAATTTTGTGCTGTGGCATTTAGAGTTTTGTGTTTTAATGTGTGGTCGGAAGAGTTGTGTTTCAGCAGGGTTGAGTTTTGTTGGTTGGAAGAGTTTTGTGTTTCCCCCACTTGTACTTTGCCTTATTTTCATTAAGAACTTGGCTAAGAGGCCGTTTATTAAGCACTTATCTTGGTAAGCGCTCACCGGTTCAATCACCTTATTAGATGAACATAAAGAGACCGATAATCTTATCCATTAAAAGGGAAGGAAAAGATCAAGAGTCTTACCAGATTGTAGACGCTTACCGTTAATCTCTTTCGATGGCAGGGAATGTGAGAGTGGTGACCCTTGCCGGGTAAGCACTTCCCGACAAGTTTTTGGTAAACGATACCTTAGTTCACCAACCTTTCTAGAAGTGTAGGGTTCAAATCTCACCAAATATGAAATATTCTTATTTGCCATGTCCATGTAGTGAAGTTGGTTCAGTTGAGTGAAAACACCCGAAGTCAATAGAATAAAATGTGTGAGAGATGGAATATAAAATGATTGGTAAAATGTGTTCATGATGGATAAAATAATATCCATGTTATTCAATGTAGTGTAAATATGATCAATAATAACGTAAATTGTATATAAAGAAACGTACTTTGTTTCAATTCTTAATTTGGGAACATTTGCAAAACACTTGTTTAGGAATCACGTAAATATTTCGAACATTCAATATTCACAAGCTTTGTTTTTGAAACAACTTCTTTTACTTAGGCTTGTTTACCAAATGCTTACCGGATAGATATATTCTTACCCCATAAGAGTGATGTCAGGAATCAAGAGTCTTACCAGATAAGTGAGAGTGACGACTCTTATCCCATTAATGCTTACCATATAAATTGTTGCATGCAATGTTATTTTGATGAACTAGAATCTTATCCGGTAAAGTGACAACTTTGAGGTATAAATGGTGAGATGCAGTTTTTGTAACCAAACAACCTCTATTTTAAAATCATATTTCAACTTATCAAACATCATCATATATGATGATAAATGAACACTCACCATCATTCGCCCGTTCCCCAACACCATTATAATTTGTAAGTATCCAACAGATTCTTTAAATTGTAATCAAGATTCAAAATCTCTAAAACAATTTACATGTAAGCATCGTAACATTATCGTATGGCTCTCGTGTAAGCATCATAACGACGTCGTGTAATCATTAAAACAACATTAGGGCTAATTGACCTCGTAGAACATAGTGAAAGCTATAATTTTTTTTAAAGCACATTTAAAGATGCATCGACATAATATAGTACCATAATCATTGAACAAAACATTATTATAATTATCATCTATGTAATTTAACCATAAGAGCAAGGGTAGTACAATGAGAAAAGAAGTTAGGAGTTGAACATATTTTTATTTAAAGCAACATGACAACATAATCTTTTATGACATCATTAAGTATACAAAGCCAAATTTCCCATAAATATTTGCTTCTAAAAAGGTCAAAAATGCACAAAGACCATACCGATAAACAGTGGAGTCCGGCGGCCTCTTAGAAGGTCAAAAGTTCAAACCTCAGTGAGGAGCGTGCAGGAGTGCTTCCGAGTGTTTGCCATATAAAAATATCATATACTTGAAAAAACAATACCATGACCAATTCATATAAATACTACTATGCAAATATGATGAATAACCACATTTGAGTAGCACACCAAATATACTGCCAGAATGGTAGCAAAGTGGCAACTATGTTGGAAAATATCTCAAAAAAGAAAGAAAGTTTAATCATTTTATTAATCCTCTACCACAAACAGCAGAATCATAATGAAGGAAAGAGAATAACCCCCCCCCCGCCCCCCTCTTTTCTCCTCTTCCCTTTTTCCCTCTGGCTCAGCTTGTACACTACATTCTTTAAAGGATATTTACCTGATCTCTCATTTTTCTTCATACTTCAACATCTTGATCATCTTTCCTGCAGAGGCAAAGATATCAACAACCTCCATCAGTACATCCATGCAACAGAATTTTCCTAATCCCCACAAAAGCCACACTCGACATGTTCAGTAGAAAAGAAAATAAAAAAGTTTGCTTTATTTACCATAACTTCACCAAATTTGATTCTCTGATATCAAATACCAAGACCATATGCTTTCGATATATTTGCAGCATGGAACACACAGGTGGCATATCCAGCAGATGCACATGTTAAGAATGTAAAAGACCGAAACCAGCTGCTATATCTCATGGACAGTTGACATGCTACAAAGTGCTTGTTTTGATGACATATTTTAGGCCAAGATTAACAATTTAACATTAGATAAACCGAGACACCAATGCATAAGGTATCCAGCACCTTATTTTCATATTTGATGAATTTTTTCAGATGTAGCATAAACTATAAGGATAGGAAACAAAGCCCCGTCAAGAAACTTGTTAAAAGCAAGAGAAACCTGTGTATATTGGTGTTGTCTCACATGCAGACTATCTATCATTTCATCTAAAACTACACCAACACTTGTAAAACTGACATAATGGCATTAAATAAACAAATAACACATTTCATGAAGAAGAGTGATCATTAGTAGGAAAAGAAAGAGTGATTCATACTTTGGTAAACTCGGCTTCTTCAACAACTTCATGATTCCCTTGCTGCCTAGGAATGTTGTTCCTCTGGTCCATCTGTGAAAATGTTGGATTTTCTCCATATTGTGATGAAGTCCGATTGCTGCCAGATCCAATTCCTTGCCCATAACCTCCTTCTGTTCCTTGGTTGTATTGTCCACCTGCTTGCCCATAACTTCCACCGCTACGTTCTCCATACTGTCCACCGGTCGCTTGTCCAAAATTTCCAGCGCCTCCTTGTCCGTATGGTCCAGCTGGGCCTTGCCCATAATTTCCTCCGCCTCCTTGTCCATACTGTGCACCTGCTCCTTGTCCATACTGTCCACCTGCTCCTTGTCCATAATTTCCTCCGCCTCCTTGTCCATATTGTCCACCTGCTCCTTGACCATAATTTCCACCACCTGGTTGCCCATATTGCCCACCTCTATGTTCACCATATTGTCCCCCAGTCCCTTGCCTGTAATTTCCACCACCTCCTTGGCTGTAGTTTCCTACGCGAGGAGTAAAATCCCTCTGCTCGGGATGTGCATAGTTCCCTTGGTCCCTTGTGGGAAAATCAGTTTGCCTAGGAGGATTAAGATTTCTTCCTTCTCCTGCATTGTAATTTCCTTGGTAAGTGGGCATGGGGCCTCTTCTGTCTCCCTGATAATTACCCTGTCCGCCAGGTGCATTATTCATTGGATTAGGGTTACCATAATTCTGTTGCATTGGAGAATTTTGGTCCATTCGACCTCTAGGCGGCGGTCTGTTGTAATCTCTATTACGATCATTATACCTTCCACTTTGCCTTCCATATTGTACTGGGGGTGGTCTGGGTATTATTGTTCCATTAATGTACTTGTCTCCTAATATTTGCAACACAAAAATACTTAAATGCCATAAGAAATGTAATGCTCGAAACTCATACTTGAGCCACCAAGCCAATATGACAAATATCAACATAAAGTAAATCCTACCTCCATATTCTTTGTTTACAGGATCAATATAGGAATCAGGCAATACAAAAACAACTCCAGGTAAACCTGTTCAAGGAGGAGTGAGATCATCTACATCAACAGCATGCACCATCCACTCCCAGAAAGAACAAAACATGTACCTTTAAACTGCTCTGAAACTTCTTCTGACGCCTCAACCTGAAATCCATTGTAAGTAGTTGTGCTACAAGCATAAATTTTCTTCTTTGCCTCTTCCACACTGAAATTATTATATATTAAACGAACTACAGCAAATCAGAACACCATAACACAGTGAAGGATTGAATATAAAACAATGTTAAAACCGGTTTAACAAGTTGGAATTTCATGGTTTATAACCTATTCCTACTCAATAAAAAGTTGGCATTTTATAAGAGTAAGAGGGTAAGGGCATGTTAACAGCTTAATGAGCATAACGGGACTCACAGCTTAGGCAGTTAACTATACATGACTGTTTGGTAGTGGCTTAATGATACAGGAAGTAGCTTAGGGCCTGTTTACTTGTGGCTTAATGAGCTTAGTGGGTAAACCGGCTTATTCGCACAGACAAACAAGGCTGTTTACCTTGGGCTTATTCGCTCAGAAATGGGCTTATTCGCCCAGATGAAAAACATGTGTTGTCCAGGTTAAGCCAGGTAAAAGACTTGTCCTACCCTTACACAATAGTCACGCCTCTCTCAAGTCTCTTCTCCATCGATCCAACACCCTTCGTTCTCTTCTCCATCGATCGACAAGTAAACAGGCCCTTCTCCATCGATCTCTTCTCCATCGATTGACCAAGGGAAATAGGGTTTTAGAGAGAGAAATAGGGTTTTAGAGCAAGACCAAGGGTTTTTAAACCTCCCTCAAGAACCAATTATTCAATGGAAGAAGCTTCATCACCATTGTCGCAGCCTAAAAAGAGAGGTAGGCCCTTGGTCTCTTCTCCATCGATCGACGGCTGTTGCTCTCTTTTCCGTCGATCGACCATACCTGTTGCAACGAGTAGAGTGGCGAAGGCGACGAAGACGAAGGCTCAGACCGGTCACCGGTGACGAAGCAAATAGGGGTGGCAGCAAAGCAACCGGAGATGGCGGCAAAGCAACCGGAGATGGCGAACGCCAAACAGGCGAGAGGGAGGATGAACAGGCAAAAATCATTTTTATGGTATATATAATGGAAACAAGAAATTTCAAGCTGCAGTTTGCATTTTTTTTGGGTATTTGCTGTTTGCTTAAGGTTTTCTATCCTCAGGGGTAAATTGGTCATTTCTGTTATTCAGACTGTTATTCAGATAGAAAAGTAAACAGCAACATAAATTTATCCAGACAGACAAATTTATCCAAACAGACAAATTTATCCATACAGAACTTAATAAAAAATTTAGTAAACAGCCCCTTACTTGGTAAGCTTCTGGCGGGGGAGCTTTATGCAGAAAGATAAGTATTTTCAAACCTGCCCCACCCAATTAAAAAACAGGCTGCTTCTATCTATGAAAAAACACTCCCAATTCATACAGTCAGCTTCGTCCATACAGGACTTAAAAGGAAAACCAACCAAACAGCCCCTAACTTATAGAAAAACAACGGCCAGAATCCCACATTTCACTGTACCCTGTAAGCTTGTCAAACTAAATCTAGGAGTGGTACATGACTACGACAAGCTTTACTGAGTTAAAGCCTGTTAACAGGATGGAGTTTTCATGGTTATAACCTAATCCTACTCAGGAAGAAGTGGCACTTTATAAGAGGGTAAGCTATATAGAAACAACAGCCAATACCCCATATTACACCATACCATGTAAACTAGTCAAACCAAATATTAAAAATTTTACACGACAACAAGGAGCCTATTTGAGTTAGGCTAGCAAACTGACAAGTAAAATAGGCATTTTTCACAGAAATTATCGTCTAGCATATTTTTGAACCCCAACAAAAATTATCGTCTAGAACACAAACCGTTATAATAAGCATGTACACCCAAATTTGCATATGAAAGGGTTATAAATCGTAACACCTCATTGAATCACAGGTGATTACGTAGAAACCTTATCGTGTAAAGAGATTAACAGTCATATTATACACTCGTTCAAAGGGAAATAGAACCTTCCAAGAACTTTTGCGGCAGTTTGGACGTAAGTTTCGACCATTTCTTCAGGAGATGGTTTAGGATCTTTAGGAAAATCCATGGTAATCAGCCAGTGATTGTAATCGCAACCCTCGAATAGTATAGCATCAGGGCTAATCTGATCGCCGTCCATATCATCATTGTTGTATCTAGCTCGCGAAGAGAAGGCCTTTGATGATATGAATTGAAACGATACACTACTGGATTTTGAACGAGTGACATCAAATTGGCTAGGGTTTTGTTGGATGGTAGAGGGGGAGGAGGAAGGTGGTGCTGCCACGGATGATACCACGGCAGAGAAATGCCTGGGGTGGTTGAAAATAGAAACCGTTAGAGCAAGTGATCGCTGGAGTCGGAGAGCGTTCGCCGCCATTAGTGGTGGTGCAGAACCAGATAGTCGGTGACAACTAGGGTTTAGCCTTCAGGGTTTAACCCATTTTCAGACCCATCCGCTTTTATATAATGTATTTATAGTTGATTACACAAAATGGTCCTTCACATATGCATATATTACCATTTTAGTCCCTGAATTTCAGAACTCCTAATTTTTACACCCCTCCTCCCCCTCCCCCTCCACTAACAACCTAATCAACCCAATTCGTTAAATAGCCAATTAAGAGGATTGAAATTGAGTTAGGTTTAGGGATCGTTTGTTTACCTCTTAATAGTTTCATTAATAAGCAACCTCTAAATCGTTAAGAGGTGAATTTTGTTTGACAATTTTTTTTGTCTTTTAATCGTTCTAAAACCCTCTGAATGATTTTGTATCATAGACCTCTCTTAACCATTCAGCGCCATAATTTCATTGTAAACAATTATATTTCATTTTTGCACTATATCATAAGAGCCTCTTAATCATGTTGCCCCAAAATCATTCAGCAACTGCCAAACAGCCCATTAGTTTAACCCAACCTACCAAATCGCAGCTAATATATGTAACTTCAATAAAAAAAAATGTATTTAAATCTATATAATATACTAGTTTATTATATATATTAATTATGTGTAAAATTTTATAAAATGTTTGTTGAATTCATATTTGTACTTTTTTAGCTATATGTATAGGTTACAAAAAATAATGGAAAAGTATAAATTTAAGTTATTCATATTCGCTATTCTAATGAATCGAGATAACCTTGCGGTATAAATAATCAGTATTTGTTCTTCCACTGCGAGAGGGGCAAATTGGGATTGTTTAAGCAATTCACGTAAGCATGAACCTCTTGCCAATTCATCATGAGTAAAAAAAAATTATTAGAATCGTTTTTGCAACAACAACAAATGGATGTGCCAAGAAATATAAATGATGTTGAAAGATACTTGGTTGACGAATATATTAATCCAAAGACTCTTTAATCTGATGTTGTACTTTGGTCAAAAGATGATGCTAATAGGCATAACTTTTGGTCTATGTTAGCTAAAGATGTTCTTGAAACACATGTATCCACTGTGACATATGAATTCACTTTTAGTACTAGCAGACATATTATGGACTCATTTAGAAGCTCTTCGAGTCCAAAGATGGTGGAGACCCTTGCATGCATGCAAAGTCGGTTGAAAGAGAATCACGAGGGGTTTCAAAACAAATGAATATTTGGATGAAATAACATCTCACGAGTTTCTCGAACATGGTAAATAAACTTTGTAAATTAATTTGATAACAGTGGTTCTTTATTCATGAAATGATTTAACCATATTTTTTCAAGATTTGTTACCGAGAAACTAAACTATGAAGAAAAAACAGTCTCAAGCAGATCAAAAATATTCGAACATGTGAAATAAAAAATTAACAATTCAATCATACTTGCTTATAGTCGAAATGGTCACAATACTGAAAACAACTATTGTTACTCTTCGTGCAACCGTATGTTTGGGAATGAAGGATTTCGATGAGGGTTTTTGGCCAAAGTTGAAACAAGTACGTTACAACAAATTTAAGCAAGTTATCAAAACGTCTTGCAATTATACAAATGTAGGTAACAACACTGTATGTGCATGGTGAATCTAAATATTTTATGAGAATATATGTATGGGACAGATGGATAATTCAATATATTATGAGTTATGACAAAACAATCATCATGATAATCAATAGTTTCACATTTCTTTTATCATTTTAAGCCAATTACAAAGTTTGATGATAGAGAACTTAATTATATATATATATATATATATAGGGGCAGGTTCAAATGCGAACCGTCCAATTCTAAAAAACCGTGTTAACCAAATTCGACCAATAAGAAAATTCCATTTGTTTTCAATTAAATTTAAATAATAAGGGTATTTATGACATTTTGTACACATATTTCGTAATTATGGAAGTTATTAATTCATATTATATAAGGAAATTAAATAAAATAAATATTGAAGAAAGGAAACGTTTCAATATATAAGGAAATTATATTATTAAAATCATTATTTTAATGATAACTATAATGAATTATGAAACAAATTTATGAAGATTTCATCAAATATATTGATGAAATCGTGGGTTGCTGCAGGT